TGGATTGTCAGCTCCCTGAGGGCAAGAGCTGAGTCTTTCTCACTCGTGCCTGACACAGTACCTGATAACCAGCAGATACCTGATAAGCATGTGTGTGGTATAGATGGATTTTCTTGTTCTTCCTTGAAACTCTGTCAGGCTGACCCTTCATTCCCCAAAGTCGTGATTATCCCCTAGCACTAATAGCTGCTGCGCTGGACAATTGATTAGGCTCTGGCCTAGCCTGCCATGTAGTGCTAATTCTAGGGCTCACTCCCTTTCTGCCACCCCTCAACATCCACCCTTACCCTGGACCCTTGGACTTTTTCAGTCTCTTGACCCCTATTCCAAGGTCTTAATGCTCCCTAGGCTTTGCTGTCACCATCTCAGTTGAGAACGCTTTACCCCCATCCCTTCCCCCTCTCCTCCAGAGAAGGACTGGAGGTAAAAGCAAAGAATTTATCTGTGGGCTTAACAACAGACTAGGCACAATAGACTGAAGGATAAGTGAATTTGAAAACACAAGAGAAAAAAGATTGGGGCAAAAAGGGATGGGGTAGGGAGGACAGAACGTCTCAAAACTGTAGGACAACATCAAATGGTCTAACATACATGTAACAGGAGTCCCATCAGTCTGGCTTGATGAAATGGGATTTCCTATCCTTTCCTGTTCTACAGCTATTTACTTGTGCTTTCGTCTTTTTCATTGTAGAAACAGTAAGATTATTATAACAAAGCACCTTCGTGTTTATTAGGGTGAGTAGAAGAGCACAATGGCAGGAATGAATCTCAGGAGTTAAGACTTTAGGAGGCAATCTTGGGCTGAATCCCCTTGGCCACTTGCTAACTGTATGACCTCAGGCCATCTTGTGAAAAGGCAGGGTTGGGGACCACCACCCCACTTGTGCTGATGCTCATCTGTCCACTTGAAATAATAATAAGTAAAGAACTCTGACAAGGGCACACTTAGAGCTTTTTTCTTATTATTACTAACCACTGTCTCACCATCCGCATCATTCACACTCTTGTCACCATTTTCATTTATTCCCTTTCAGACTTGATTTGTATGCATTAAAAAAAAAATTCACAATCATGGTGCATCACCATTGTGAAATCTGCTTTCAAATTTATTCTTCAACACTCAGTTTTCCATGCCACTGCCAAGTCTTTAGGAGTCCTGGTGTGGTGCTGTGGGTTAATGCGTCAGACTGCAAGTCATTTGAACTGCAAGGTCGGTGGTTCAAGCTCACCAGTTGCTCCTTGGAAACCCTATACAGGGTTGCTATGGGTTGGAATCAACTCGATGGCACTTAACAACAACACCAAGTCTTTATGGACGTAATTTTATTTTTGTTATCTTTAAACTTTTTACTGTGAATTGAGTGAAGGTTTCCAGAGCAGATAAGTTTTACATTCAACAAATCATATCCTTCGTCTCATTACAATGACTGCAATCCCCTCCATGTCCCAACAGTTAACAGTCTTTACCTCTATTCACTTTAACTCTTACACTTCTCCCTGTGTCTCCTGCTGCCTTCATCTTTCCTCTGCCAACCCCTCTTGTATACTGCCTGTCCTGCCACCCATGTTAAGATGTGTCTGCCCTCTAGCCTGTGAATCATTTTCCCTCCCCACCCTGGGCACCCATAACCATCATAGACTGTTTTGTTCATCAAGAAAATCTTTTTTTATATCAGTGGTCTCATACACTATTTGTCCTTTTGTGATTTGACTAATTTCATTCAACATAATGCCCTCCAGGTTCTACTGATGTCATTTTAAAGGGTTACACAATACCTCCCTACATTTTTGGTGCTAGTTTTGGTCATTCTCCCTGCTCCTCTCCACTCCCCTGTATTGTTCAACCCAAGTTCCTAGTGTGGCAGGGACACAAAGGTTCTTGTCAATCATTTACTTTCAGGCTATGCTTAGCTGCAACTCACAGCCCTTCCAGGGCTCCTGGGTCCTTTCTATAAACCATGACAGGATGTATCTCACTCACCTCACAAAGGCATAGGGGCACTACATAAACACAGTTACCATTTCTGCTAAGGCACAGTGGGTTAAGCACTGGGTGGCTAACCAAAAGTTTGGTGGTTCACATCCACCTACTGCTCTGCGGGAGACAGATGAGGCTGTCTGCTTCCGTAAAGTTTACAGTCTCAGAAACCCTGTGGTCTAGGGTAGCTGTGAGTTGGAATTGACTAGACGGCAGTGGGTGGGTTTACCATCACTGCCATTTGTGAACTAGAAACAAAGACACTCAAACCTAAGTCCTTTAGAAAGCACAAAGCTTTACAAGTCTCCTGGGGAAATGCCTACAAGGGCACAGAGAAGGTACTTTAAAAATGCCTGCCTAGGAGCAGCACTGGAGATGAGTTCCAGTGACCAAGCAAGATTCAGGGATCCCCACTGGCTTCCCCTAGAACAGGTCTGCAATTGTCCATCTTAAAGCGTGAGCTCTCTCTCCTGCAACCTGCACTAACACTAAGTGGAAACCATTTGAACACACTCATCAAGACTGAGACCCCAAGAGGTGAAGGGGTGTGTGTACTAGCACCATTCTGTCAGCTGCTTAAAGGCATCCCTGAATGAGTACTTTCGAGGTCTGAAAGGAGAAGGCAGGTAGTTCTTCAGAGGAGATGACGTTTGACCTGGCACTCTACTCTAAAGCATTTTAAAGATTGTTCTTGTCTTTTCCAGTCCTTTGAACTGTGATGTTACAGTGAGGCTCCTGGTGGTCAGGAGGTACAGGTGACAGAATGAAGGTTAAGGAGTGTTATGAACAGTAGCAGGCAAGACAGGTTAACTAATGCCCAGGAGCTCTCCGTCCCGCCCTCCCTCCAGAGGCAGGGACTGAGTCTGAGCAGCTCAGTCTGCTTGCTTCTGCTGCCTGTCAGGATGGCTAACGCTGAGCCTGATCTGCTCATTTAGCAACACGAGGGGAGGAAAACAGCCCATCCCTGCTCTGCATCTCAAATGCACTGAGCGAACTGGTGTGACACAGAGGGATTGCTATTGATTTTCACTTGTGCAGGCTGACCTAACAGAACCCATTCGTCAAGCACCTGTCTGCCTCTCTGCTTCAGACGCACATCTTAACCACGTGCAGATACATGGCACTAGCATTGAGGTCCATCTGTCAGGGTCTAGCTGAGCTAGGACCCTGGCTTTCGCTAATGGGCTCCATGCCAGGCTGGGCTAGGATCAGCCCAGCAAATGCCCCACTGCTGATCCCCCATTGATTAGCAATGTTCTGGAAGGAACTGAAATCAGGATAACTGACAGCTGCTGCCATACTAGTTGCTGGATGGCTAGGACTGGGAAGGATGGGGCTTTGAGGAGCCAGGCCTTTAACATCCTGGCTTCTTAATGTCTTTGATCTTGGAGGGTTTGAGAAGAGTCTACATACAACTGGGAGGCAAGAAGCCTGCATGTGTTCTTTTTGGCATTGGCTCTGCTGCTGATGGAGTGTCTGTGGGCTAGCTGTGGGAACACCACCTATCGGGGTCTCAGACCCTACCATGGCCAGTGGTCATACTCAGAGCCCAGTCCCTGTTCTATCACTTCCAGCTGTGGCCTGGGAAGCTACTCTTATGGATTAAGTTGTTAAGTGTCATCATCCTTCAGTTTCTGAGGATCAGCTGGTGGATTTGAACTGCTGACCTTGTGGTTAGCAGTCCAGTGCTTATCCTACAGCACTACACCAGGTGTAAATCCTAATCTCTGTGTGTGTGGTAAAGGGCCCTTGGTGGCGCTGTCAGATAAGCACTGGAATGCTAACTGCAAGGACAGCAGTTTAAACCCATCGCTCTAGGAGAGAACGATGCTTTCAGCTTTACAGCCTCCGAAACCCTATATGGGTCCCTATGAGTTGGCATCAACTGACTGGCAGTGTGTTAGGATTTCGGTTTATGCTTGTGGTTATAATCCCTTTTGGGAATGGGCAAGATTATGCTAATGAGGCAGGTACAGGTACAGGTGTGCCTTGACTCAGTCAGTCTCTTTTGATACAGAGAAGTGAGCGAGCAGAGATGGGGAAGACAGATGCCCAGACACGTGGAGATCTCCAAAGCAGAAGCTGAAGGGACAAGCACCTTCCTCCAGAGCAGGCAGAGAAAGCCTTCCGCTAGAGCCGGCATCTTCAACTTGGGCTTCTAGCCTCCTAAACTGTGAGAGAATACATTTCTGCTTGTTAAAGGCAACCCCCTCCCACCCCCGTGGGCTTTTGGTTCTGTTCTAGTGGTGTGCTGTTGAGTCGGCTCTGTATATAGTTTCTGAGGTTGTAAATTTCTTTACAGTAAAGGAGCAGAAAGCCTCATCTTTCTCACATGGAACAGCTGGTAGTGTCGAACTGCTGACCTTGACCTTAGCAGTCCGACTTGTAACCACTATACTACCAGAGTTCCTTTCTGTTCTACTAGCACTAGGGAACTAAGACTGCCAGCTTCAGCTCTGTGCGTCCCTAGCTTCTCAGGTGGAAGGCATCAGGGCTGACTGAGAGACAGGGGTAGGCGCCCTCCAGGTCAGACCAAGGCAGGAGCAATGGTGGGAGGGGTTAAAATGAGAGCAGCTGTCACTGAAGAGTGGGATGTAGTGGAGTGGGTATCAAGCACATCACGGGTCATGCTTGAAAGGTTCGAAAATTTGACGTGCAGGCCTTTTGTTTTTGCTTTTTTAATGTATAGGTTTTCTGTTCAGGGAAAAAGAGGTGGTGTTTTGCTGCTGAGGTTTGGGGTCACTTTGGGGCTCCATCCCCACCTTTTTCCCACCAGTGCTTGCCGGCCTATGAGTCCTCTGCTATGGGATAAGGCACTGAGTTCAGTCAGCACAAAGGCGCTCACACTGGCTCGTTGGTGGGCAGTGAGGTTGTCTTCCCAGGGGCTGGCAAGCTGAGGCTGTTGAGGGGTTGAGCTGAAAATGGGGCCCAGCATGGCACCCATGGTGGGAGGCCCAGGCTATGATGCAGCAGTTTGGTGGGTCTGGCACCACTGCCACCAGCTGGCCCTGGCATGGTGGCCTCAGGATGGGATCATGCCTTTGCTTCTCTTCCGGTCGGCCATGGTCCTCCGGTTGTGGTTGGCTCTTGTTGCCTTGTTAGCCTCCTTCTTCCTGCGGTCCTGGGTTGTCTCCCGGGTCTGCCCATGGCCACGAGGGTTGCCGGCCACCGCTGTTGAGCTGTCGTGCCGGTACCTGAGTGAGGAGCAACCCACTCAGGAGAACCCATCAGTCATAAGAGGGTCAGATGGAAAGCTCCCAGTGGGCCTCGCATGTCACTGGGAGAGGACACACAGACCATAACAGGACACCCACATCCCCACTTCAGGGTCCCAACAGGGGCAGAGCTGCAGGGAACCCATGGCCAGTCCCATGTCAGATGTTCTCTTTACTTGGGGCCTTGCCTCCACATGGGCTGTTTGGGAGGAGGAGCTAGCAGGCTGACGGCACCTCACACAAGCAAAGGAGATGGTGTGGTTTGGTGGCTTCCAAAGACCCAGTAGACTCACAAGCATGTCCTGGACCCTTTCAGACCACCTCAAACTGCTGGGACCTCCAGCTCCATGCTCAGGGGGTTGGGATGGATGAGGAATCAGAGCTACTCTGCTCAACAAGTTTCCATGGCTCCCCATTGCCCTCAAATGAGATCCAAATAGCTTCCCTCTGTGGTGAGGCCCTCTATACCCAGCAGGGGTTGGCCCCTCTGGATCATTTAGTCATGGAAAGACCTTAGAGGGGTTGCTGGGTCTCCTCTTCCAGCTGCCCTCAGCCATACCGGGTGACTCCCCTCCCTGGCCATACCCTGTGCTGTCTTGCTTTTCTGTCATCTCACATGACAAACTCATGCATAAACACCCCTGCTCCACCATGCCTCTCTCAGCCATAAAGGCTGCATGTCTGTCTGTCCGTCTGCCTGGCTCTCTCACATCTCACACCAGGTAGCCGTGGACAGAGCCAGGTCACCTGGCTCCAGTCTCACCACCACCCCCACCTTTGGCAGATTACTTAATGTCTTTGGGCCTTAGTTTCCTCATCTGTAAAATGGGGATCATACATTAGCTATGTCTCAGGATTGCTATGGGGTCTAAATTAATACATACAGAGCACTTAGGTTGGTGGGTTCCCTCCCACCAGAATGAATGCTCACCCCTTCCTGGCAAGGAAAGCCATGCGCCTTGCTTCTGCCTTCTCCCTCAGCACTGCAGGGTCTTGCACGAAATGGTCGGGCTGGGGAGGGAGGGAGGGTAGATAAGCACTGGGATCCTGAGGCCCCGACAGCCTGCAGGCCCAGCAGGATGATACCCCAGAGCTAAACTCAGTGGGGGCACCATTGGTGGAATAGGACGATGACAAATGGGAGGCACTGAGGAGGAGATGAGAAGGTTCACAGTGCTCAAAACCCAAGAAACAAGATGGAATAAGCCACATTTGGAAATGAAGATCTTCCACACAAATCTGGGCTGTCCTTCTGTCCCTGGACAGAAGGAAAGCCCCCAGGACAAAGGCTGGCACTTTTGCTGAGGAGCCTCTCAGACACACCTCCACCCTGCCCTGCACTGATTTACAGGGTGAGATGGCCCCAGAAACAGCCAGTTGTCAACCCCAGTGACATAAGGGCCTGGCTGGACAAAAGGGGCAAGGTTCTAGGCAGCCACTCCATTCAACCAGGTAGAGCTATCTTTACCTGTCTAATATACATACGGAGATTCTAGTCAAGATTTCATTTGAAGAAAAATCAGCTACTACAAAGACTTTTCAAACCCATTGGCCCAGACAGCCTCCAAGGGCTCTGTAGCACTAGCTCTAGTCTGATTTTCAGAAATGCTGCTGCCCAGGGACCCTTAAAGTTTCCTGGCCCCCAGGCAACCTAAAACTCGTAGTTCAAAGGCTCAGCCTGGCTTTGGAGGTGAGCTGGAAGCCAGCAGCATTCCCGGCAGATGTCAGGCAGTAATGCTGGGGCAGCACAGGAAAGGCCGGGGCTGCAATGTTTCTGATTCTCCTGTCAGCAAGGCACCCTTCCCCTCATCTGCCCACCCTGACACTGAGATACCTTGGGGGCCTCCTCTTCAGCCTCCTCCTCCTCATCGTCCTCATCCTCCTGCCCTTCCCTGGGCATTCTGGTTCTCAGCACCTGAGGGGTGGTGAAGGGTCTGAGGGAGGAGAGAGAGTACATCAAGGAAAAGGGAATCACCTGGGAAAGGGCTGCTTAGGAGGTGGGGGACAAACCATCCAGCAATTCCAGCCCTAGAAATCTCTGAGGGAACAAGGGCTAGCTACAGGGTCTTGCTTCTATCTGAGCTGGGACTCTGGAGTCTCTATCCCTCCTTTCAGTCAGCTAGAATAGCTTTCTTTTTCTCTGTATTCACAGTATGCTGATGACACTGTCTTAGGAAAAGTTTTCTGCAATTAAAAAATTACTGTGAGAGACCAAAGGAACCCTTGTGAGCTGTAGGATAAGAATTGGGCTGTGAAACATGAGGTCGGCAGTTCAAATCCACTAGCCAGTCCGTAGGAGAAAGACAAAGTTTTTAAAACTTAGTCTCAGAAACCCTGTACAGGGCTGCTATGAGTTGGAATTGACTTTATGGTAGAGGGCTTGGTTTTGTTTAAGTGTGAGACCAGTTATGCAGGGGTTTCAAAAGTTCCTGGCAGAAAAGAATGAAAAGATAATGGAATTTCTGAAGCTTCCTCATAAATGCTGTCCCACTCAGACTGGGCTGGGCCAACCAAAGGAGGTGGTGGTCTGTGGGTGAAGGGAGCACTGGGCAAGGGGTCAGGCGGCCTGATTCTGTCACTGACTTGCTAGCGTGAAGAGGAACAGGGCTTCCGCATTCATACTATCAGAGACCACAGTAGGGGCGCCTCACTGGCATGGAGCCGCTGTGTCCCTGGAACCCCACCCACCCCCTGGCCTCACCTGCGACTGATGAGCTCGTCATCTGAGTCCACATCATTGGCGCCCACTTGGTTGCCATCATACGTGTCATCATACTCGTCCTCGTAGTCATCACCACGATAGGGAAGGTCCTCCCCAGGCTTCAGGGGCACCTGTAATGGCACAAGTGTGGGCTGGAGAGGCCTAGGGGCCAGTCAGGTCTTCTAACCCCAGTCTGGAAGCCACCTACCTCCTCTACCACCACGCTGTATTGCTCATAGCGCTGCCTCTGAGCTGCTACCGCTCGCTTGTCATTCAGCAGGCTCCGTGTGTTCTCTTCCTTCCTGGTGTTTGAAAAAGTAACAGGGGAGAGATGAAGGCAGGCCATCAGGGTCCAGGCACCCATGGACAGCTGATGCTCTCAAATGCTGGTCAGGGTGTGCAGGGATGGGGCTCTCACTCTTGGTGATGCTCCTGATTCTCCTCTCAGCACGGCACCCTTCCCCTCATTTGCCCACCCTGCCATATGGCAATGGCTCAAGCTGCTTGGGAGGGCACCCCAAGAGTAGCTTTTCAAATATAAAACACACACATCCTTTATTAGCCCACTGCCTCCTTCAAGAAACTCTGGCCTAGTGAAAAAAAAAGGTCTATCAGGGATTTGTATCCCAGCATCGCCTGCAACTAATGCCTATCATGAATGGAACAGCCAAGATAGCTCTGCTCCCTCTGCCTTACAGAATGTTGCGGGGTACTTTTCGAGAATGATGAGAAAAAGAATTTTAAGGCTTATTACTAATGAAAATCAGCAAGCTACAGAAAAATACATATAGTATGATCCCATCTGTATGAAAAACAGAAAGCAAACTAAATCCACTCTGGTCTCTCTGGCTCAGAAAGTCGGCTCCAAGCATACTCTGACATGCTCAAGTCCAATCACGATGTATTTTGAGAGGCTGCCAACTTAGGGAGTTCAGATTCCAACACTGTATCAGACACAGTGGTGTCACTGAAGTAGGTGTTACCTGGTGCAGTAACTCATGATGACACTCACCAGTCCTCCCAACATAGGTGAGAGCCACGCCCAATAGCCCTGCCCCTCCTAGCCCCATCCCCATGGTTCCTACGGCACCTCCCTGTCCCATTGGCCAAGGCAGAGACCCTCTCTCTGTCCAACTGTGGGCACCAAGGCCAGGCGCCTGAACCCTGACTCACCTGATGGGTGAGGGGCAGGGGGCGGTGAGATTAGGTACTGCAATGGGTAATGGGTGACCTCAACACCGTGGTGGCCTTTTCCTGACACCACCATGAACCCCTGGGTCATTTTGGTATCATCACCTCTGACAGTGTCTAGGGGTACAGACTAAACCCCCACAATCCTCTGGTGATGCCACTGATCAGACAATGTTCTGTTGGGATCCACAGAGCTTTCACTGGCTAAGTTTTTGAAGCAAACTGCTAGGTCTTTCTGAAGTAAACGTGCCACTGAAACTTGTCCCCAGTGGGTGACCCTGTAGGTGTTTGAAATACTGGTGGCATAGCTTCCAGAATCACAGTAACACACAAGCAGCACAGTACCACACAGTGACAGAAGGGTGGTGGGCATGTACATATGTATGAACGTGCACATAGACAGCCAGTAAGTTCCACACCAAATGACAATGGCTACTTCAAGGAAAGACCTTGTGGTGCAGTGAATTACTTAATGCCTTTTCTGGTCATAGTCTTTGTAAACTCCATCCAAGTGACTTTTTCTGATGGGTCTGGGTATGAGAAGGTGGGGAAAGATGCTGATGATTCTATGATCCAGTTGTGATTAGTAATAGGGCTAGGTGTGGTGGGTCAATTTTGCTATCCTGCTGGGTATAAAATGAGCCATCTTAGAATTAGAAATCTCACTACCATTGAAGAAGAGGAGCCAGGAGTGAAGCATGTCTTTTGGACCCCAAGATCCCTGTTCACTGAACCTCCTTGGCCAAGGGACACTGGAGGAATAGTGGAGGAGCAGCAGCAGAAGAACCAAGAGCCAGAGTGGTGGGGCAAGGTCCATACAGAGCACAGAAAACAGAGTGTCTTTGGGAAGGTAGCTTGCCTGCAGAGTGGGGTGCCTCCAGGAACTTAATTGGGGGTGCTAGGCATGCTGACCCATGGAGCTAGAGTCGAGTGCCTTCAGGCTTATAGTGGAATTTATCAGCAGCCCTCAGAGAACTTTGTAACACCGCTGGAGCAGGGCAGTGGCCAGGCCAAGGGGTCAAAAACTAGAGAGAGGCCTGCATGTGGACACAGCAGAGAAGTTGTCCTGACTGAAGAACTGTGCCCTGAACATTTCTGAAGCTGAATACTAAGCCCTGTCAGTACGGTGTCTAAGTTCTCTGTGGCCATGAATTAAATATTTAGCCCAGCTGAGTGTGCTGTGGGAGGGATAGGAGATGTCTTTTTTTTTGTAGGTCTGACAATGTTTGAATATTTTCAAACAAATACAAGTTTAAGGGGTCCCTGGCCTCCTCTTCTCACCCTCACAGTGGTCTCCTCTGTTTTATAGTTTGAGTTTCTGGTCAGATTTCACCAGAAGAAAAAGTTGGTCAGGCCAGCTCCCATCATGTCACAGGTGAGGAAAATCAGGTGCGATAGAGGGAAGGGAAGGGCCATGTAGCACATCTGTAGTGGGAACTGTCTCTTGACTCAGGACTTTTCATACCTATGGACAAAGCTGATTTGTCAGACACACCCACCAGCTTGGGGAATGTAGCTTCTAGACCTGGAGAGGAAATTTGCAAGATGCTGGATAAGAAAACCCAGCTGAGCTGTGAACTCAGGTCTCTGGAATGTATCGAGGGTAGGGCAGAAGAAACACAAAGCCTACATAGTCCTCCACAGCTTCCATAAAATCATCTATTAACTGACTTTGGGTGCCGGGAGAGGCAGGCCCCTGAGTTGGCTGGGCTGTTTGGGGCCTGTGGGGCCTGCAGCCTCGTGTGGCCTGCAAGACTTGGGCTCTCTTCCATATGTCTTTTCTAAGGACTCCTAGTGCCAGGCAGAGGCCTTGGGCTCAGCTAGGGGAAGAGTCAGAAAAGCAACAGCTATGGTTTGGCCCCTGTTGGAACTCACATTCTAGTGGGATAACAGGTAAATGGTAGCCAAGGACACACGAAATGTGCATAACAGAGATATGTGAGCCTGGAGAAATGGTGACACAGAGGGAGAGGGACGTGCCCTGGCTCGGGGGCCAGCTGGGGGCCTGGGTGATGGAAAGCTTCCCTCCCTAGTGGACAGAGGGGTGCAGTTGCTCTGGGACAGGGAAAACCCTTGGTACACAGGAATCTTCCTCCTCACACCAGGAAAGTGGACCGTGACTGGCCTCAAAACAGGTTGGAAGCAGACAGGAAGTGAAAAGGGTCCAATCAGGACCCTCAGGAGGAACATACTCTGGACATCTACTAAGAGCTAGAATCTGGGCTAGACCAGGATGAATGAGTGGTGTTCTCCACCCATGGCCCCTGGTTTATTCTGTCCCTGGTTCTCACAGGATAGATTCTAGATGCCTGGCTCCCTGACATACCCTACCCACCCCAGGAGGGCCTGGGAGAGGATGCAGGTGGGGACAAGTGGAGCCCAGTGCCCTGGGCAGCCCTCCAGCAAGGTGTAGCTCTGGTGCCATGACCTCATCTGGAAGCAGGAAGGAAACAGATAATCAGGCACAAAATCAATCATAGATAGGGAAAGGCTTATCGGGGTGCCAACACTTTAGACAAGTCTGGAAACATAGACAACAGTGGCTTTGGAGACAGTCTTTTGGGAAGGTGGAGGTGGAATCCTTGGTCTCCTACTAGATGGTGGTGGCCCAGGGAGCATGAAGGCTCCCTCCTCTGGCCTATCCTTCTAAACCCAACTCAGATTGACCCTCAGGGGGTGACTCCTGTCTTTGAACTTCTACTCTCCATCCCACCTTTTCCAGGTGAGGACTCAGAATTCAGAGAAGCAGAGCAACCTTCCTAAGGTCACACAGCAGCTAGCAGGTGGCGCTAGGGCCAGAGCACTGTTTCCTGACTGGAGGCTTTACGAGGTTTCTGAGCCCTGTATCATGGGCAAGTCCCTTATCTTCCCTGGATCTCCGTGTCCTTCTCCCAGAACGTGCCTACAGGGGTTAACAAGATGATGAAGTAAGATGTATCCAAGTGAACCTGGTACTTGTTGGGTTCAATAAAATGAATCTGCTTTTTTTTCACTGCAGGACTTGTCAGAGACTTCCTGTGTTAATGTGTTCTGATTCTCTAGAAGGCAGACAGATGGTACAGGCTTTTTGGGCCATAACATATTTTCTAGGAGGAACACTTGTTATCATCTGGGGTATAAATTTTTAGTCCAGAAGACTTAGGGGAAATACTGAGTGTAGATACAGAACTTCCAAATGACAAGGAAGTCAGTAGATTTCAAGATAAAACATACTGCTTTAAGCAGGGAAATAATTAATAAATTACAGGGTAGCCTTAGAGAAAAATAATACACCTGCACATAAAAACTATAAAAGAGGAAAATCAGAAAGATTTAGTAAATATAAACAACAGAAATAAAAATGAAACGACAACCCACAAACATGAACTCAGCATAGAAAATTATGTGGAACAAAGAATCCAGTAGCACCACAAAAAACAAACAAACAAACAAAAAAACCCAGAAAAAATGGTAACAATCAATTCATACCTAATAATAATTACACTGAATGTCAATGGATTAAATGTACCAGTCAAGAGACACTAAGAGCAGAATGGATAAGAAAACAGGATGGATAAGTATATTCTGCAATATACTGTCTACAGGAGACATAAAAAAAAACAACAAAAAAGAGACAGCCTAAATGCCCATCAACTGAAAAACAGTACAACAAACTTTGGTGCATACAATAGAATACTACAAAACGTTGAATGATGAATCTGTGAAATGCTTCATAACGTTGCTGAACCTGGAGGATATTATGCTGAGTGAAATTAGTCAATCACAAAAAAACAAACATTGTATGAAACCAATGTTGTAAGAAGTTCTTGATAAAAAAAAAAAAAACAATCTATGATGGTGGAGGGGAAATTATTCACGGGCTAAGGGCTAGAGGGTAGACACATGTTAACATGGGTGACAGGGCAGGCAATATACAACATGAGGGAGGTCAGCAGGGAAGGATGAAGGTGGCAGGAGACCCAGGGAGGAATGAAGTAGTTAAAAAGTGAATAGAGGTAAAGACTGTTAACTGTTGGTACATGAAGAGTATTGCAACCATATGGTTTGTTGAACATAAAACTGATGATCTGCTCTGTAAACCTTCATTCAATTCACAATATAAAGGCTAAAAAAAAAAAAAAATTAGGGGAACCCTACCTTACAACCCCCTCCACATCTTGTGTCCCTTGGTAATAGACTCATTCTGCTCATTCCTCTCCCTCCAGAACCCTGGGTCTCAGTCCTGTGACCCACTTATCTCAATGGGATAGTGAGGGGAAGCTGAGAACTTCTGGGAAAGGCTTCCTGGTTTCTTAATAGAGATACAGAAAGGCCTGTTACAGACTTTCTCTCGATGCTTGTTTCTGGAGGGGATACCTGGAATGGCTGTAGGCACCAAGAGACAGAAAGATGCAGTACCCCATGATGTCTCTATGACCCTAGGTTAACCAAGCTTCAACCTGCGGTTACCTTGCAACTCCCTGTCACATGAAGGATGAGGTTTCCTGACAACATAGGCATCAAGCACACTTTCAGTCACCTGAAGCTATAAACACCTTATCTGATTCAACATGTGCATATTTTAACTAAGTATGGTTGGCCAAGCAATTTCATTTCTTTTATGCTCCCTGGTGGTGGTGGTTATGTGCCGTGGAGCCGATTCCAATTCATAGTGACCCTGTACAGGGTTTCCAAAGCTGTAAATCTTTATGGGAGCAGAAAGCCTCGTCTTTCTTCTGCAGAGCAGCTGGTAGTTTAGAACTGCTGACCTTGAGGTTAGCAGCCCAATTTATAACCACAACACTACCAGGTGGGGTCAAACTCCTGCAGCTGACCCACCAGCCTACCTTCTCTGTTTAGTGTTCTGAGTCTTTCTCACAGTCTCTCGTCTTTTGAGGGTGAGGCCTGGCTGCCCTGTCCACTCTTGTCTCCCTGGTGTCTAGCATAGGATCAGTGCTAGTAAGCTGCTGAATAAATATTTGCTGAATGAATCAATAAGGAGCCCATGAATGAAGGCTTTGCCTCTTCTCAATCCCTACCCTCAGGTCACTGAGCACAGTGAGTTCAGTAAACACTGCTGGCCACACTCAGCCTGGCCCCTGGAGCAGAATCACTGTTGCCTCAGTGCCAGCCCCTCTGTGACCCTGACAGCTGGGATCAGCCCCCTGGCAGATGCTCTTGGGTGACTGTGTGTGATGCGGGGGGAAGGGGGAGTGAAGCACAACCTCATAACATTACAGGTCCAGGACAAACTCACAGACCGTCAAGGGGAAAGGTCGCTGACAGATATGCCTGAGCTCAGAAGGCCTGAGCAACCTGGCTCCTTGGGTTGGAGCTGGAGGTTGGCCTTCTACTAGCCTGGGGCCTTGTCTGTCCCACTCTCCATAGCAGGAGCCTCTCAGGAGTCACGCTGTCTGGCCTCTGATGCAGGATAACATCTTTGTCCGGGCTGGGAGCTGAGATGTTGCAATGTATGTGACTGAGCAGTTTGGGACTGCTTCCTGTTCAGTCAGCCAGATGGCATCACAGCTGCCCTGGGCCTACTCCCCAAGTCCTCAACTAGCCAGTCTTCCTTCATGGGACAGCCTGGGGAGGAGACACAGAATGGGGCCTCAGCCCAAGCTGCCACCTGCCCCTCTGCCCCTGGGGAGCCAACTACAACAGGGAAGGGGTCCTTGCCTCTCTGACCCTTATAGAGGAGGGGGCAGGTTGCACTTGTGCAGTGGACCCCACAGGTCCAGATTCCATGAACACACCTCGGGAGAAACTGGGAGACAGGTATCGTGTCTAACTCTGCCATTCTCTACTATGCTCTCTATCCACCACTGTCCCCATGTCCACTCAGCTCCCCAGTCCAGAGCCAGGAGAGCATTTCAAAACAAAAGGGGTCAGCTCCCAGGACCTTAGTCTCATGGCCACTACCCCTACTGCTGAATCTGCTTGGAGAGCCTCACCTTCCCTGATAAGAAAACGACCCCTCAGCTCTCAGTCAAGTGTTCCTTCTCAGAGGACATTCCTGCCTGGTTGAAGCCCCAGTTGGAGACGTTGGACCCCACACACCTCCACCTTGTAGTACTTGTAATGTTTGTACTTTTGCGTCTCGTGTTTGATGAGTTGATTAGTGCCAGCTCCACGTGGGCAGGCGCCCTGTCTGTTTTGCTCCCCACTCCATCCGCCGCACCTAATCCAGGCTGAATGTTGTAAGCACTGGACAAATATTTGTTGAACGAATGAATAAATCATGAATGGAGTTTTCAATGCCAAAAAAGTAGGAAGGGCATGAACCAAAGTGAGGTAGGAAGGTCTTCAAATGTGATAGTCACTTTCTGAAGGACTCCCTGAACACATCTCCTCCTCCTCCACCTCCACCACCACCCTGAGGACAGGGCCTTATGCTTTTCCTTCTGCCAAATGTAGCGTAGTGGGTTATGCGTTGGGCTTGAATCCACTAGCTGCTCCATGAGAGACAGATGAGGCTTTCTACTCCCAGAAAAATTCATAGCCTTGGACTCCCCCTCAGTCATGGTATGCTACAGGATGATGCACTGGATTCAAAGGTCAGTTTGTACCACAAGGTAGGCAGTTTAAACCCACCAGCTGCTCCTCGGAAACCCTAGACAGGGTTGCTATGAGTCGGAACTGATTCGATGGCACTTAACAACATGAGTCGGAACAGACTCGCTAGCAGACAGCAACAGGCAAAGCCAGGTCAAGGACTTACTCAGTGATTCATGGTCAGGGCATCAAATCATTTTAGACAACAGGGAAAGAGGATATTTTTGGGTCCTCTGGCTATCTCCTGTCAGTAAGTTCGAGTCACTTAGTGACTCACAGAGTCTGACGCATTACCTGCTGGGATCCGCAGGTAATGGGTCCTCTCGCAGGTGTGGCAGGGAGATTCCCCATCTGAAGGGACCTCAGGTCTCAACCTCTATGGCCAGTTCTCTAACACCAGGGGCCCTTCTATTCCTTCTGAAACTGTGGTACTAGGGCCCCACTGCACTCACCTCCTGCCCTTGTGCACCCGGCTCAGATCCACCGAGTCCCTGCTGAATACGTCGAACTCGTCATTCTGGAAGACATTGTGACGAGATGCCAACAGGGTTGTTGGGTTTGGTCTCGCCTGTCTGGAGACAGCATGGAAATCAATTTAAGGGGGCCAGCCCAGCTGACACCTACCTGCACTCCACTTCCCCCCACCACTGATGTCCACTGAATCCTTCACTCCTCTTCAATGGCCACATCAGGATTACAATCTCAACAACTTCCAGGGGAAGGTGGACCTGCCTGGCTACACAGCCACCCCTCAGCAATATTCACCTTATTCCAGATGTGTCAGTCACTCAGGTCTGCTTTCTGTGCCGTGAAAGCTCCTTCTCTCACTGAATGCTTAGGATGGCTTTATGAGATTGGTACCTAGGGTCACCTAACCTTTTTGAACCTCAGTGCCCTTTGTAAAATGTGGCACAAAGTGGATGAGAAGTGTGTCCAAATGGACACAGCTAGATTCATTCATTCATTCAACAGCCATTATCTGTTTAGGGAGAAACACACATCCATCCCCTTGTTCCTGCTGCCCCACGGGGCCCTCAGGGAAGCAGAGGGCCAGACTCCTAAAGGGCTGGTGTGAAGAAGCAAGGAGCTCAGCCATGCTTCCTCAGGATCCACTGGCCAGGTAGTACCACAGAAGCTAGCCGAGAGTTTAGGAACTAGACGGTGCTCTGTCATGTGCCACGTCTCTAATGGGTCCTCTCACAGGTGTGGCAGAGATATTCCCCACACACATTCTCTGACCTGCTGGGACCTCTGAGGATGTCCTGAGGACCTCAGTTACATGTGGGGTAGGGAAGGCAAGCTGAATCCTTGAATGAGTGGGATGTTGAGGCGAGCAGGGGCCCCAATGAAGGCCCTAAAGCGGCCTGGGCCCACCTGTGTCCCACCTGTCTAGGCTGCGGTCCAGCTGGGTGAGGGCAGGGGCCAGCCGCTCCTCCAGGATGTTGTTGATCACCTGCTCGGGGGCGTAGTTGTAGTGCTCCAGGCAGGCCAGGATGAAACCCTCACCGAGGTCCGGCAGCAGGTCCTTCACTTGGGAGATGAGCGAATCCAGTTCCACTCCAGACACAGGGGGGCCCAGGGCAGCAGCTGCTCCCATGCACTGCGGGAAGAGGCCGAGTGAAGGAGGGGATAAGTCAGGGGGTGAGACAGTAATAGGCAACAGGTAGAGAACAAACAGTGCTGAAACTGAGTCAGGGGTCCTACTGGATGTGGGGCCTCCAACCAGGTGACTCTAGACTCTCGGAGCCTCCATTTCCTCCTCTTTGGAAACGAGGGGCTCTGGACTTCACCTCTGTGCTACTTCTGGCTGGGACTCTAAACTTGTTGATACCTCCCTGAGTCTTAGTTCCTCCTTTAGATACCAGGCAGACCACTCCCCACATACTTCAGGGGGCTGTTTCAAGTGGTTCAAACAGGTGCTGCACACCAAGGGCTGAACCTATGGCAGCACTGACCAAGCACTCTGTGAATAACCACGGCTCCTACTGTCCTGTACCAGTTCTCACAAGTTCAAGACTGATGTCTGGTTCATGGCAACATCGCTCATGGACTGTAAGGGTGAGTCACTTTATACACGGCTCAGCGTGGCTCAGTTTGGTTAGGTCTTTTAGTTTAGGAAAGGACCTTAGTGTCACAGTGGCTAAAGCACTTGGTTGCTAACGGAAAGATTGGCAGTTCAAACACACCTGCTGCCATGTGGAAGAAAGATGTAGCAATCTGTTCCTGTAAAGATTATTTAAGTGTCAGTCAGTTCTGACTCATAGTGACCCTGTATAAGGTTTCCAAGGAGTGGCTGGTGGAATTGAACCACCAAGCTTGTGGTACACAGTACAGTGCATATCCTACAGCGCCACAACAGGACTTCCCCTGAAAAAAGTGCCATCTAGTTGGTTCCAACTCATAGGGACCCTGTATAGTGTTTCCGAAAAGCAGCTGGTGAGTTTGAACCTCCAACTTTGTGGTTTAAATCGATCTTGTGGTCCAGTGCTTATCCTACAGTGCCACACCAGAACTCAGCCTAGGAAATCCTAGGGAGCAATTCTACTCTGATTTGTAGGGTGGCTGTTTAGTCGGAATTGACTGGAGGGCAATGGCTTTTTTTGTTTGTTTGTTAGTTAAGGAGATTTATAAATCAAACAAAAATCAAAACTCAGAGAAGAAGTCAAGTGGCAGGATGAGGGTGGAAAAAGGCAGTGGGGCTGTTATCCTTCAAGGCCGTGGGTCTAACAGGAAGACCACAGCGTGTGTATACTGAGGTCAACCAGGGCTTACAGCTCTGGGAATCCCAACAAGCCTGTCCCCCACTTAGAAAATGAGAAACCGAGGCTCACAGAGAGCATTGTGCCCAAGGTCACAGAACTGAAATATAGCCCTGAGCTACCTGACCCAGGGACTGTGTGGTTTAACCTGCATCACTGCTGTCTACCAACACACAGAAAAGGGCCTGGGTTCCATAGTCAGTCAGGAGGTCACAAACTTAGCCAGTTCTGGAGAAGTCTGAGGTTTCCAAGCTTGTTTAATGAGGTCCTGCAGTGCTATGGAGGGGGCTTCCAGGGAGGCCCAGCAGTAGGACCAGGAACTGCTCCAGACCACAATCAAAGCAGCCCATTTCTGTGTTTACAGGTGACTCAGGAAGATGTCACACAAAGTGTCACCTTTCAGTTTACACATGGACACAAGGCTTCAGCAGCTGAAATGACTTACTGTCTCCTCACACCTGCTCAGGACCTTCTAAGGGGAGCTTTGGATTGTCAATTCCCAAAGTAACCTTTCCCTCCTCCCGGCTCTGAACCCCTGGAGTGCAGAAACAAAGAAGGGAGGTTTCCCAGCTGCCCCAACCTCTCAGATGGAGTCTGGAGGGCAGGGGCAGGAGGGGCAGCCCTGCCCCAGACACACCTCCTCTTCCTCGTAGTTCTCTGGCTGTGATGGTGTTTGACTGGTGGGCCCCGCTGTTGCTGCCACCCCATTAGGATCCTCAGCCAGCGGTGGGTCTTTAGGCTCTGTGGTTTTCTGTCTGTCCACCCCTTCCCATGCACTTTCAACTGCCTGGAGGATGTAGGCAGTGCGTGTCTCATCACTACGAGGATGTTAAAGGGTTTTCTCTCTCAGGTCCCACAGCCTCTCCACCTCCCCAGCATCTGATTGCATGCACCAGGTGTGTCAGGGATGCCTGGGCTGCATGCGGGAGGGGCCAGACCAAGTACACAGACCTTGGCCACACTGGCCTTGCAACCCAGCTCCTGCCACTGAGCCAGGACTGGCAGGCTGGCTGCAGTGTATTGTGGGACAATGTGTTCAGACCTGCTATGGGCTTCCTGCAAAGGTTGGGAGCCCAAGGGTTTCCCTGAAGCAGGACTGCTACCCACCCCAGCCACCAGAATGGTCCCAAAGCCTGCCCCTGCTCCCTCTAACACTTTAGGTAGCACCAAGCCAGAAACCAGAAAATCCCCCTAGGTATCTTCACTCCACTTCCAGTCCATATCCCCAGCATCCTGGCCTGGATGCCAGCAACAGCCTCCTCACAAGCCCCTGGGCCTCCACAGTGGCACCAGGCTAGTCCAGGTTTCTCCCTGTGAGAATTGGCCACTATCCCCAGAAACACAGGGCTAGGGGCTGGGGCTTTGGCATGTCTCCCATGAAAGCTGGCTGACCTGTTCGTTCTTGGGCTAAACCTCCCTCCACTCCTCTGGGACCCAGATCCCTTCCCAGGGGCAGTGGTTAAAGGATACAAGACTGATGAGGCCTGCTGCAGCAAACTAACATCATCGGCCACTGGGAAGAGTGCGTCATAGTCCCGGAGGAACCTGCCAGGTAGAGCACAGATGGGAGGGGCAGGACGGGGGCCACAGGGACACTGCCTACTGAGGGCCACAAATCCCAGCTGTCAGCCAGTACCTCCCTTAGAACTGTGATAGGCGTACAGCAGGGGCTCCATTATGTAAGGCCCTATGGGGACTGATGGGAAGGGTCCCAGCTGGGCCACACTTACCTCTTCTCCTGCAGCAAGGAGCTAAAGATCTGAAGGAACTCCTCAATGAAGCCCTGGACATTGTCACAGCTGGAACAAGACAGCAGGGGATATAAGACCTCTCAGTGCAAGACTATACACACTACCCACCTTCTCACCCTACAAGCCTACCCTGCCTTATTCCCAGTCTCTCATCTCTGCTTAGCCAGCCGTGGAGAAGGGGAGGAAGTAGAGATGAAGTCGTGGAAATGTTCCTGGAGGGCTTGGGGAGAGGGTTTTTTTCACCAGGGAGGCAGCTCCCAGGGCTCACCTGCTTTCTAGGATGGGAAGCAGGCAGACCTGGTTCATGAGGATATGAAAAATCTCCACTAGCTTCTTCCTGGAATGGGAGAGTCTCTGCCACAGGTCACCTAGCAGCCTTGCAACGTCAGAGAGAAACAAGAAATGGAGATTTGAAAGGCAAAAAGACACTAGCATTGCACCCTCCCTAACTCCACCTGTGGTAATGAAAAGGCAGAATTGCCAAGAGTAGCTGGCAAAAGGCTTTGGCCCTGAGTGACCAGCTGGTTCTAGAGTCAACAGTGGGTTGGGAAGCAATGGGCCATTTAACAAAAGCTTGGAGCTACAGCTGATGAAGAGAACTCTGGGGCAGGGGCCAGGAGGCTGCTGGGGAGTATGGACAAGTCCTGCAGCTGCCTGGTCCTCAGTTGACTGTCTGTTTTAGAGACAGTGATGCTGTCTGAGACAGGCAGGGGCCTCAGCCAAGGCCAGGGAGCACCTCCTGACACCAGGCCTCTCCCACAACGTTCTCAGCTTGTCCCCCGCCTTACTTGCTATCTTCCAGCCGCCTCTTCTTAATTGCGGTTTCTAACTCAGGAACTGCCGTTTCATAAAAGGAAGCTAGTCTGTGAAGACATACATAGGTAAAATGTTGAGTGTACTTCATACTTCAACAGAAAAGTCAAGACAAAAGAAATGGGAAGGCCCATTTTCGTGCTCCCACAACCATTTCCTCCTGGAACTGGCTCTTAGGAGTAGTCTTGGGGGAAGCAGACATGTTCCCCACTTAGATGAGGGGAAATCAAGGCCCAGTCCAGTTAGGCCTATTCTAACAGATGAACCATGGAGCCCCAGAACTCACTGCGGTTTCAGAAACAACACAAGGATACTTCTTTTCCTTGCTCCCAAACCACCAAGAATGCTCCACCTCCTACATAGCATAACCACCTCCTCCTTTGGCAAAACAAGATCTGGCACAGGGCAGCCAAACTTGAGGCTCACCTCTATGACTTCACTGCCACCCTTTCCCAAACTTGAATCCCAGCCACAGGGTTTCTTCACTGTCCTCCCTGTGATTGGGGTGAGGGGTGGGGTGGGCAACAGCCCTCTCAGCTTCTCTCAGGCCACCGGCACCACAGTTGCCCTCCTCCACTTTGTAGCATGTCAGGCTACTCCTTCCTGCGTTCTTCCTGATCATACTGACCCACAGGCTTACTCCTTCCTGGAACCAGATGTCAGCACTTCAAATACAATGGCCTTACAATTTCAAATACAGTTGCCCCACTGTGTTGAAAACAGTTTGGTGAGTCCTTAAAACGTTAAACTCAGAATTACCATATGACCCAACAATTCTACTCCTAGGTACACAAGCAAATACTTTAACACCAACGTTCACTGGAGCACTATTCACAATAGCCAAATGGTGGAAACAACCTAAGTGTCATCAACAGATGAATGAATAAACTAACTGTGAATGTTATTCAGCGATAAAATTGAATAAAGTCCTTGTTACATGTTACAACATTTTACAACAAAGATGAACCCTGAGGGACACCCAGTTTAACTGGTGTAACATATTCCATATAGACAATGTTCTACACTCTACTTTGGTGATTACCGAAGGAGGTCTTAAAAGCTGATGATCGAGAGGCCATCTAAAGTGCAACTATTGGTCTCTTCCTTTATAGAGGAAAGAAGACTGATGAAAATTGAAGATGCATGGAAGCAATTAGTCTAATGGACTAATGGACCACATGAACATCAGTCTCCATGACACTGAGACCAGAAGAACTAGATGGTGTGTGGCTACCACTACTGACTCCTCTGAAAGGGATCACATTAGAAGATCCTGGAGACAGTAGGAGAAAAGTGTGGAACAAAACTCAAAATCATAAAAAACATCAGGCTTACTGGTCAGATAGAGACTGGTGGAACCCCCTTAGTCACCCTTCAGGTCTGGAACCGAACTCACCCCACGGCTCAATTTCCAGCCAAACAAAAGATAGGTCTATAAGGGGAATAATAATATTAGTGAGGCACATATGCCTGAGGATAATTAACCATTTCAGATCAAAATAGAAGGATTTACTCAAAAACAAAGTTCACAAGGAAGAGGAATGGAAACAGGAAACACAGGGAAGGAATGGAATAAGTGATGTTACATTGAGGGCATGGCAATCAATGAGATGAAACAAAGTGTGGAGGAACTGTTCAATGGAAAAAAAAAGGATGGACTCTGGAAACATACCAAGTGCAATAAGCCAGACACGAAACATTATATGACTTCACTTTTATGAAGTACTGGAGTGCTGCTGGCACTGTAAGATAAGCACTGGACTGCTAACCACAAGGTCAGCAGTTCAAACCCACCAGCTACTCTCTGGGAGAAAGATGAGATTTTCTGTGCCTCAGAAACACCACACAGGGTTGCCATGGCACCTAATAACAACATGAAGTATCTGGAAGAGGTGAATTGATAAAGACAGAAACTAGATTAGTGGTTACCAGGAGCTGGAGGAGGGGAGATAAGGGGCTACTGCTTAAGTGGCACAGAATATGGACGATGAAAAGGTTTTGGAAAAAGAGATGACAGCTGTACAACATGATGGGTATAAGTAATGGCACTGAAACTAAACCACTGCTAAAATGGCAAATTTTGCTAACTGATTTTACATTAAAAACTTGTTTCCCCATAAGATTCAAGGCAGCTGCCTCTTCTCTGTGGTATAATTTTTCCTCAGGACATCTGAAGTGTCCCAAGGTAAGACCCCTTAAGGGCTAGGAAAGTGCTGAATGTGGACTGACCAGCTTCTGGTAACTTACTGCCTAAGGTAGTGCCTTACCTGTTGTAGTTGCTGTTATGAAGTGTAATGGAGTCGGTTCCAACTCATGGCGACCCTGTATAGGGTTTCTGACGAGCAGCTGGTGGATTTGAACTGATAGACCTTGTAGTTTAGCAGTCCAGTGCTTACCCTACAATGCCACACCAGGACTCCAGTGCCTTAAATTAGCAGAAGGTAATGAGGCCAAAAGAGGCCGGCCCTGTTAGGCCCACAGATGGTACCAGAAAAGGAGAGGGAGGCAGTTTGGCCCAAATAGGCTCAGGTGTTGCCAGGATGCATTGCTGGTGGGAGGGTAAATTGGTACAACCTTAGGGAGGGTGATTTGGCAAGATCTATCCAAATTTAAAAAGCATATGCCATCTGTCCCTGCAATCCTATTTCTAGGAATTCACTCCTCAGCTATACTTGCAAAGGTGCAAAATGATGAGTGCACAAAGTTCATCTTTGTAGTGTTTTGTGTGTGTGTGTATTAGCTGAAAATGAACTAAGGGTCCATCTATGGGATCAGGAGGCCCTTACAATGGAATCCTACCCAGTCATACAAAAAATCAAGGCTGCTCTATGCACCAACATTAAGAAAAAAAGGAAAACACAAACAGTATGTGTAGTTCTTAACAAGAACACTAACTTTTTAAAAAGAGTAGGGCTGTCTAAAGTGCATATTTGCTTGCATATGTATGAAATATTTCCAGAAAATTCTCCAAAAACCTAATGACAATGGCACTGAACTGGGGAGTAGGGAGGGGAAGGCTTTTCACGGTGCATTTTATACTTCTGGAGGTTTGTACCATGTGAATGCATAAAAGCATTCAGAAATGCCAAGGGCAGAAAGAGGAGTGAGGAGGAAGACTGCTAGGATGGAAGTAGTCAAGAGTTGTCCCAGAGACTCCATGGGAGCTCTCAGGGACTGGGGGGTGAGGGGTGGGATCATTTGTTGACTGTCAAAGGCAGTGTCCCCAGCAGGGTTTTCCTTTCTTCCTCCTCACCTGCAGCCTGCTCCTGGCAGGAGGTTAGAGTTTACAAAACTTGGGAAGCAGCTCTAACAAAATGGGAGATGGGTCTGTGATCAGGGAAAACACACAGGGCAAACAATTCTGCAAAAGCCAGAACCTGTGTAAGGTGGCAACGTGTCAGAGAAGGAAAATTCACTGGGTGTTTCTGAGGTGGGCTTCTTAGTAGAAAGAGAGAGAAGGCAGTAAGAATGTACCTTGTCTTTCAAAGGCAGAGACCAGGACAAACAAGGTCGTCCAAGTTCTGGTTCTCACAGGTTTCACTGCAGTATGGTGACATATATCTGACAGGTGGTTTCCATTTGCTTCCTGTATTTTCCATATTTCCTACAAGCACATAGCACTTTTCTCCCCAGAAAACATGCCTTTTAAACAAAGTGGGCATCTATAATCCCATTTCAATCCTTTTCTTCTAGGGGAAATGCTGATTGGCACTTTACTATAACATTCTTTGAGAAGGCTGATCAATTCTAATGTCTGGTTTTCACAAGCTGAGGAGACCAGGGAGAGGCTAGAAAACCAGTTGCCATGCTGGCATGAATCAGCACTAGATAAGTAGTTTGTTGAATGAGCAAGTAGGTGACTGAATGGACAGACTGAATGGCTGGCTGGCTGGGGTGGGAAACTCCCAAACGCTCCTTTGAATGTTGGAATGTTGGGGAGAAGTGCCTGGCAAGAGTGACAGGCCAGAGGCTGCTGAGAACAGACTCATGCCAGGCCACGTGCAGACTGCCAGTCTCTCCACGCTGGGCCAGTATCACCCTTTTCTTATTGCACAAGTAACAGACGTGGGATAAGTGGGTGAAGTGGGTCTCCCTCCCTGGACCATGTAATCCTCCCACTTCTTTTTTCGGCCCTGTGGGGTCTTTTTATGACTCTTTTGGCTAAAAGCCTCTAGTGGCTCCCCACTGCCTATAGAAGAAAGGTTTCATTCCCTGCCAACACATTCACGAGTCCTCACAGGCAAACACTGGCTTCTACAGGCTCACTCCCTGCCTCATAGAACACTCCACTACCCATGCCTGCTGTTAACGCTTCCCAGCACCCAACCCTCCCATAGCACGGAACACTCCTCAGTCACTGCCTCGTGGAATGCCTCCCAACACACGCACGCACACACACACACACACACACACACACACACACACACACACACACCTCGCGGAATGATCCCCTGCACACTCTGGGCCCTCCCCTGCTTCACTCCACCTGCCTGGTCTGCCCTTTCTGCCACACTGAACCCTCCAGCTTTCTCTGTCCAGAAGGTTCCTGTTCATTCTAATTTAAGGTTCACCTCTGCTAGGAAACCTTGCCTTACTTCAACAGACAGAAGTTTGCCTCTCTACCCTGGGATCCCAAAGCCCCACAGGTGAGCACATCTGTTTCTACATGTATGTTCTCTGGACCTGAAGCTACATCCTCAGGGAAGGGAAGACAGCCTGTTGTCCATCACTCACCCCCTGGTGCTTGCCCATGACATGGGCTTTGGAGCAAAGGAGGTTAAAGTCGCTGTTATTGTTGTTGTCAGTTCCAACCCATAGCAACTCTGCAAAGGGTTTCCGAGGAACAGCTGGAGAGTTTGAACCACCAACCCTGCAGTTCATACGACTTTGCAGTCCAGTGCATTAACCCACTGTGCCACACCAGCCCTCCTCTCCTCCCATTCTTAGCCAAAAGGGGACGTGCTTCTAACAGAGTCTCCACGTACACAGAAGCTGCATCTTTTTTTACTGTCCTATCCTCAAGCTGGATGAGGGCCCGGCACATTCTAAGCTCCCAATAACTACTTGTTGAATGAATCCGTGCACCAGACTTGTACTTCCACAGCCAGAAGGGCCACTGTACCTGTAACAGAAGTCATGTTTCTGAAAAGTTTGACATGCCAAAGGGAAGATGTCCAGAAAGGCCCAGAGTGTAGTGCAGGTATCACAAAGGTAGAGAACAATGTCCTTCAGTTCCTGGTAGAAAAGAAAACATGGCCTTATTCTCCTCCATCCCCACAGTCAGCTCTGCAGAAGCTTTGAGATAAAACTGATAAAGCTGGAGGTCTTTCAACAGCAGATGTCATACATGGGGGAAGAAGGACTTTAGACCAGGTTCTAGAGATCTGACTAAAGTCTGACATAGGTCCACCTCTTGGATTTTGATCTGAGCAAGTCCCTCATTTAGCCTCTCTAAGGCTCAAGTCTTGCTACAATAGCTCAAATGGGCTTATTACACCAATGATCTCTGGGGTTACTTTTAGCTCTACAACACAGCATCTAAAGACAATGCCTGGACTCCTTTTTACGAGAGTACAGAACATTTTTTGTATACTTAATTCTTACAGCAACTCTGAGAAGCAGGCTGGACAGCACCTAACAGCCCCATTTGCCAGACGAGGAAACTGAGGTTCAGACGGTAACAGCACCAGGCATGTCCCCTTCCAAACCACTTGTTGAATGGCTATTCCCCCATGAGACTGTACACTCCAGGAGAGCAGCTCATGGCTGCTTCATTCCATTCCTGCTGTATCGCCTTCCAGTGCCTGGCACAGGGTTGGACACATCCAGGCTTCTTAGTGCTTTCTTAGTGCTTGTCTTCTGTCTGTCATCCTCATTAGATTCTGAGTCCATGAGAGCAGGTGCTGTGCCTGCCTTTACTGACTGCTTTACCCTTCAGGCCTGGGACAGGGCCTGACAGGCCGAGGGCTCTTCAGTACAAATTCACTGAATGAATGACTCAGTGAGTAACAGATGAGGGAATCTATCGAGCTGAACTAAAGACTGGAACCCCGTCCTCTGAATCCTAGTTCCCTGCTCATCCACAAATGAAGCTCCCAGATAGACATGAAAACTTGCTGAAAACAGTGACACCTTTGTGATGGGACCAAGCTGGTGACTTAAGAAAGGGGGCCCAGAGAAGAAGTAGCTGGTGGATGGGTGAGAAGGTGCTTTTTCACGTCAATCTTCCCAGCCTTGGGGTAGCCAGGCTCGGTTGGGCTGAAGGGGAATCCTGCCAGAAAGAGTCTGGGTTGGCAGGGCAACCTCACCTGGAGAGGCATGTCACTGGGGGTCAGTCGTCCCCTCTCCTCAAGCTTCTGGGGTGTGGCGCAGGCCCCATCTCCTTGCAAGCCACAATGTTGGAGGATATTGCTGAAGACCTGTGGAATGCAAGAGGCGACACTTCCTGCAGCTTGCCAAAGCATCTAGGACCTTGTCCCTATAACCAGGGCTGCTCAGCAAGGTGTGGGACAAGGGATCCGAAAAGTGCCTTGGGATTCTGGGAATATACACCAGTGTTCCAAGGAAGACATATGAGTATCTCAGCTAAACAATGAATGACCTTCCCAGAAAGCAGGTCAAAGTGGAAAAAGTATAAGATGGGGATGATGGGAGCACCATTCTCATAGGATTGAGGTGATATACGGGTGACACATGTATGTAAGGCCCTCAGAATCCCACAGATTGTATCTGACTGGAGAGACAGGGCAAGTACCTGGAAATGATCATTTAAGATAGACCTTCAGCAACATACAACACCTCAGTGCACTCCGGCAGATGCCAATGTGTAGAAAGGATATTAATAGAGCCTGTGGTAAAAGCACGTAATTACTCATTCTGCTGTTCTTAGGGAGGCTAACATGAAATGCTTACAAAATTACCCTGAGCAGTGGCCATCTTCTTGGTGGTAGGATTGTGGGGATATATTCGTCTTTCTCTTTTTCTAGATTTTCCAAGTTTTCAACAATGAACATTATTATTTTGTAAAAATATTGGGTAAAAATTTGAAGCTATTATTAAAGAAACATTTTTTTGGGGGGGTGTATCCTTAGAGGCATACCCACCCAATAACCCATTCTCATCGAGTCGATGAGAATGAGCCGATTCCGACTTGATGCATACAGCAGTGGACAAACAAGCAGCACTGGACTGCTAACCACAAGGCTGATCGTTCAAACCTTCCAGCCACTTCTTGGAAACCCTACACAAGGTCACTATGAGACGGGATCAACTTGACAACACTTAACAACAACAAGAGCTGGACAGACCTTTGGATATTAGTCCTATTCAAGAGAGAAGAAGGGCAAATTTAAAGAAGTGTGAGGAGGGATACAATTGAAGCTGTCTGAAGATAGGTCAAGACAGAAAGACAGGGGAAACAAGCATGTCTCCCTGGCTCTTCCAGGAAAGATAAGGACACCATCAGGAGGGAAGGGGGTCTGCTCTCAGTTCCGCGGGGCAAGGCTGAGCGCTGGTACCTGAAGAATGGTGGGCATGGTTTCATCCAGGTCATTGTAGTAACTTGGTTGCTGGGTAAAGATGTTTCCTGAAAAGAGAACAGAGAGGTGGGAATTGGGTAAAGAGGGTGGGGGTGGAAAGGACATGTAAAGATAGCTGCCAGAATGTTCTGCAACCCTGCACCCTTTCCTAAGCCTGTCTGCTCTAGGAGTCCTGGCCCCAGTCCCTGCTGGCACCCAGTGGGCTTTGGCTCAGCCTGGAAACTTTCCCTGGGAGCTGCGGGGAACTCCTTGCTCAGCACAATTTAACCTTTGAAGCACCTCTGCCTAGAGAATTATGTAAAAGGCCAACCCTGGTCAAACCAGCTGGCCTGCGGCACCCAGGGTGGGCCCACACTTGGGCATCGTGCCACATATGACAGCACAGGCTTTGGAAGTGGGAGTTAGTCATCCAGCAAAATGAGATAGAATCTCTGCTCAAACTCCTGCCAGGGCACACCTCCAAAACTATTAGGAATCTCCAAGGAGAAATCTCCCTGGGAAGTCTCTAGCTCTTGCTTTTGAGTATGTGGCCACACTCATCTGTCTGACACCAAGACGAGAGGCCTGGAGGAGTCTGGAGACAGAATTACAGATACATTTAGGGTGGTTCCTAGAAAATGAAGTTCCTCTTCTGAGTGCTTACTACCTCCGGGGGCTGCTGCTACATAGGTGGAGGTTAGAGCATGGTAACTGGAACAGAAAGCACGTGGTCTGGCTGCCCAAGTGATGATAGAGGGAGGGACAATCACAGCTAGCTGGGAACACAATGACACCAAATGCCACTGCCCTTCAGACGAGGCCAGGGCTCTTCATCCCACCTGCAATCCTGGCACAGAAGGGCTAGCTACCTGCCAGGATGGTCTGGATTCTAGGTTTCCTCTGATTTGAAGCAGGCCTGTCCTTAGTTTAGCTATTGACACCACTGTAGCCCTTACCCACACCCTGGATGGCTTGCAAATAAAAGAGATCAAAGGCTGGGCAGAGTTGGGTGAGTCACTGGGTGGCTGCACTTTCCATGAAGGCTTCCCTGGGTGCCACTTGGTTCCTTTAGTCCAAAAAGCTGAATCTTAATTGAGCTCGCTCACTCAGTACCTCCCACCTCTAGATGGGGGCAGACCTTGCAACCTGTGATGGTGCGCCCAGACCATCCCAGTCTACCTCTGACTCCTGTCACTCCACCAACCTCTGCTCTTCCTTGTGGTGGTGGAGGTTGTGTGCTATTGAGTCAACTCCAGTTCATAGTGACACTGTATAGGGTTTCTGAGGCCATAAATCTTTATGGGGGCAGAAAGCCTCATCTGGTGGACTCTAACTACTGATCTTGTGGTTAGCAGCCCAATGCATCACCCACTAAGCTACCAGGGCTCCTTGCTCTTCCTTGTAAAAGCCCCCAACTGTTACCCTCACAGTCAAGTCCAGACTTACGAGGATGACACAAAGGGCCCTGTGATGTGAGCTCTGACTCTGGCTCTTGTTATCTTTCCCTACCACCCCCAACCCCCTGCATTGCATCCTCCACCTCAGAGAACTAGCCCTGACCCCTCCCTCTGCCTACAGTGACCACCCAGTGCTGACTCCACCATGGGCAGGCATATCTACAGGCAGCACCGTGTGGTCCAGGCATCGGGAGCAAGAACTCCTCTTATCCTCCCTGGAAGTGCCATTCGCAGCAGCCCACCGGGGCCACACCATTTGTTGTTGTTGTGAAGTGTCATCGAGTCGGTTCCGACCCATAGTGACCCTGGATAGGGTTTCTGAGGAGCAGCTGGTGAGCTTGAACTGCCAACCTTGCAGTTCAAACAGCTTTGCAGTCTGGCGCATTAACCCACAGCACCACACCAGGACTCCACACCATGCTCCCCTATTGTTCCAGTGTAGAGGGGGTTACGACAGTGCCTGCCCATTGGGCTAGCTTATCAAGAATGAGCAGGATGCTTTACAAACCTCAGAGCAGATAAAATTTCACAATCCTCAAGGCCTTTGGAGTCTCTTTGCTCTCCTTATCCAGTGACGGTGAAGATTTTTTGATTTTTGATCTTTGAAAGAAATAGCAAAGAGGTAGGGGACAGCAAAGGCCTCCTTTGAAATGTCCATTCTCAGATGAAAATGGGTCAGATTCCCCAGGGCAAATGGAAAAAATTGCCAAATAGACCAGGGGGGTTCAGGACAAGGTCAAGGCCCCTATTTACTCCTGGGTTCTCATTTGCAAAACAGCTTCACCAAAGTCTAGCTGAAAGGCCCTGATTTCAAAATTATACTTGTTGACTCACAATACCAGTTTTGAGGTTAAAAAAAAAAAGGGGGGGGGGGGAGTGGCAATGTAAAGACCAGGCTTCTGACCAAAGGCCAATCGACCTATTTCCTTTCTCCCTTCACTCCCTGTGCACCTCCTGGCAGCCAATGTGCTTTACCTCATGACCCAGACAATGGAGGCTACCCATCTCCTGGCTGAGCTTTCTCCTCAAGATCTGAAGAGGGCTTCAAAGTGGGAGACAATGCCTGTAGGCCCCTTTTCTGCACCCTGCACAGTGAAGGGGCCTGATAGCTTGTCCTCACCTCTTTCCTGCAACTACCCTGATAGCTAAAGAGGGGTTCTCTTTAATAAGCCTATGAGAGTTCTTCATCTGATGCCTGAGAATATCCCAAAACACCCTGGAATCTCTAAGGTGACACATTTTCCCCTGGAAAGAAGCTTCCATTGCATTCTCAAAAGATGACCCAAGATGAGGAACTCTGCCAGCAAGCTGCTGGCCCCACCCTTGCCCACCTGAAACTGTAGCCAGACACCAGGCTATGTACACTGAACACACACACTTATTTGAACCTTGTCTCTACTCACGACCCCTCCCTCACCTCCTGAAGAGTCCTTTTTTAGCTTTCCCTAGAATCTTTGAGACTTCTCATTGCCGGTGCTTCACCAAGATCTGCTTCATTCTGTCTCCCTGGTGCCCTGTCCTGCTCCAGCAGTCCAGTCAGGCTCTTGCCTTCAAATTCAGTGAATCACCAGCTTCCTACAGTGCCTCAGTCTCCACCCCACCCCACCCCACCTGCCTGCTGCCAGATTAACCTTGTTTCCAGATAGTTTCTGGCCCTGCTCCCAGATCCTCAGAAGCTCCCACGGGCTCCAAAGAACATGAGTTTACACTTACGAAGTGCTTGTAACACACCAGGTTCTCTGCTGGCAACTGTGCTTCCACTACTGCATTCGGAATCCTTAGTTCGCCCATTTTTCAGATGAGAAAACTGAGGCATACAATGGTTGTTATAGATGGAATGGTGTCCTCTAAAAATATGTGTTATAAATCCTAACCTCAATATGTGTTGTTATAATCCCACTGTTGTTATTAAGTGCCATTTTCAATTCCAACTCAAAGTGACCCTGTATAGTTTTCAAGGAGTAGGTGGTGTTTTAGACTACCATCCTTTCGGTTAGCAGTCTTCACCAGGTGTCTGTAATCCCACTGTTGCTGCTGTTAGGTGCAATCAAGTTGGAACCTACTCATAGCGACCCTATTATGCAAAACAAAACAATGCCTGGGCTTGAACCAACCTCATAATCATTGCTACGCTTGAGTGCATTTCTGCTGCCAATCCATCTCCTCGGGGGGGCTTCCTCTTTTTCTCTGGCCCACTATATTACCAAACATGGTATCTTTCTCCAGGGACTGGTGCCTCCTGATAATATGACCTGATATTATGGCTGTACTTCTTCCAACACAGATTTGTTTATTCTTTTGGCAGTCTATGGCATAACGCTAATGCATCAATTCTTCTATGGTCTTCCATATTCACTGTCTTTCACGTGCATATGAGGTCATCAAAAACACATTCAGCAGATTTTCCTAATGCACTACGTCATTAATTTCTGACTGCTGCTTCCATGAGTGTTGATGGTTGATCCGAGCAAAATGAAGTCTTTGGTAACTTCAATCTTTTCTCCATTTATCATAATATTACATATTGGTCCAGTGGTAAGGATTTTTGTTTTCTTTACAAAATTGAGGTGCAATCATAATGAGGGCTGCGGTCTTTGATCTTCATGAGTTAAATATTTTAAGTCCTCTTCACTTTCAGCAAGCAAGGTTGTATCATCTGCATATACCAAGTTGCTAATAAGTCTGCCACAATCTTCTTCATATAATCCAGACTTCTCCGATTATTTGCTCAGCATACACACTGAATAAGTATGGTGAAAGAGTACAACCCTAGTGCACACCTTCCCTAATTTTAAACTATTCAGTGTTCCCTTGTTCTGTTGGAACAATTGTCTCCTGGTACAAGCTACTCATGAGCAGAATTCCAGAATACTAATTCTCTGCAATGTTGTCCATAGCTTATCATGATCTACACAATCTAAAGCCTTTGCATAGTCTATAAAGCACAGCACAGGCAAACATCTTTCTGGTATTCTCTGCTTTAAGCCAAAATCCATCTGACATCATTAAAGAATATCCCTCATTCCATGTCCTCTTCTGAACCTCTGGAAATTATCTGTCAATGTACGATTGCAGCTGCTTTTGAATTATCTTTAGCAAAATCTTACTTGCATGCAGCATTAATGATTTTATTAGATGATTTCTACATTCTGTTGGGTCACCTCTCTTTGGAATGGGCACAAATATGGACCTCTTCCAGTCAGCTGACCAGGTAGCAGTTTTTCAAATGTCTTGGCATAGATGAATGAGTGCTTCCAGTGCTGCATCAGTTTGTTGAAAGATTTCAATTTGTATCCCAGCAATTTCCAGCACCTTGTTCTTTGCCAATTCCTTCAATGCACCTTGGACTTCTCCCTTCAATACCACTGGCTCTTGATAATGTGCTATCTCCTGAAATGGTTGAACACTGACCATTTCCTTTTGGTACAGTGATTCTGTGTGCTCCTTCCATCTTGTTTTGCTGCTTTCTGCATCCTTCAATATTGCAAGTTGAGGCTTGAATTCTTTCTTCAGTTCCCTCAGCTTGAGAAATGCTGAGTGTGTTCTTCCCTTAGTTTTCTAACTCCAGGTCTTTGCACATTTCATTATATTTGACTTTTTCTTCTCGAGCTGACCCTTGACATTTTCTATTCAGCTCTTTTATTTCTTCATTTCTTCCATCTGCTTTAGCATCTCTACAGTGGAGAGCAAGTTTCAGAGTCTCTTCTGACATCCATTTTAGTCTTTTCCTTCTTTCTTGTCTTAAAGACCTTTTGCTTTCTTTCTATTTGATGTTCTTAATGTCATCCCACAATTCTTCTGTTGTCTTCAGTGTTTAGTGTCTAATGCATCAAGTCCATTCTTCAAATGATCTCTACATTATTCAGCTTCAGGCTGAACTAGCATATGAACAACTGATGGTCAGTTCCACAGTTTGCCCTGGCCTTGCTCTGACTGATAATTCTACCATGCAATCTCCAGTAGCATTTCTATCATCAATGCCCTTATTTTCCAACTACTGATTTCTCTGTTTCCAACCTTTGCATTCCCATCGCCAGTAATTAACAAGACATCTTAAATGCATGTTTTTCAGACTGAAGTTGGTAGAATTCTTCAATTTCATCGTCACTGGCCTTAATGATTGGTGCATAAATTTAAACAATAGTGGTATTAACTGGTCTTCCTTGTGGATGTATGGATATTATCCTATCACAGACAGCATTGAACTTCAAGACAGATCTTGAAATGTTCTTTTTTATGATGAATATGATGCCATTCCTCTTCAGTGTGCATTCCCAGCACAGCAAACCAATTGAGTCTCAGATTCAAAATGGCCAATATCAGTCCATTTCAGCTCACTAATTCCTAGAATATTGATGTTTATACATTATTTCATTTTGACAGCTTCCTATTTTCCTAGTTTCATACTTCGTACATTCCATGTTCTGATTATTAATGGATACTTACAGCTGTTTCTCTTCATTTTGAGTTGTGCCCCATCAGCAAATGAAGGTACCGAGGGCTTTCCTCCATTCATGTCATAGCATCATCATCATGATGTGCATCGTGTCATCATTAGGGATTGGGTTTTGCTTGTTATGTCATAACATTAGTGCAGCATGTTTCTTAAATCAATTTCTTGAGATATGAAAGAGACTAAACAAATAAGCAAACAGCAGAGACAAGGGAAGATAGATGTTGTCGTCATTCTTTAGTGTTGCTATAACAGAAATACCACAAGTGAACGGCTTTAACACATTTATTTTCTCACATTTGGGAGGTGTGCTGTTATGGTGTTTGGTGCCATTGAGTCAGCTCTGACTCACAGTCACCCTATGTACAACAGAATGAAACATTGCCCAAAGTGGCATCTTTGCTCTTTTCTTCCCCTGGATCTAGGAGGGTCCCAGTGCAGGAACCTGGGTCCAAAGAATGTGCTCTGCTCACAGCTTTTCTTTCTTGATGGTGATATGAAAAAAAGTGTTGCAGGCCACATCCCAAGGAAACTCCACTCACATTAGATCAGGGCTGTAAAAGGATTAAAGGTCTTGCATCCTACCCTTAATCCTCTTACAACTGATTGGTTTATCACATTAGATCACATGATGGGGGTAATTACATTACCGCCACATTTCATCATTACATAACTGCCAAATCACTGAGAATCATGGCCCAGCCAAGTTGACACATATTTAGGGGGAACACAATTGTATCCACAACAGATGCAAGCCACAGGAAGAGCTCCCTGGCGCAGAAAGCAAAATAGTCAATAGAGAGAGAAAATCTCCTACAGTCTGCATCCTAACTTGATACTTCAAGTCTCCTAAACTGAGAAAATAAATTCCTGTTTGTTAAAGCTGCCCATTTATGGTCTTTCTGTTATAGCAGCACTAGATCACACAGACAGTAGTTAAGTGATTTGGCCAAGGGGACTTGGCCAGGAATAAACCTAGGGTGTGAATCAGGCAGTTCAACTGGTGAGCCTGCCTTCTCAACCACCTGGTAATACACCCCTCAAGTGCTGGAGCCTGGCATGGAGCCTTCCCCAATGTGACTCAGCTTCTTCCTCCTGCCTCTGGCTGCTGCCCTCCTGAGATGCTCTGCTCTAATCAAGCTGACATAATAATTGCTCTTCTAACTAATCATGCCTACTTCTGTTCACTCACCCCCCGCACCCTTAAGTCTATCGTAAGATAACTAAGGGTCTTTCCCTGAAAAAAATAAAAATCAACTGACGATTAGGCAATAAGTAAATTTAAATAAGAATTCAGAGTTTGTCTGAATGAAAAGGCTAGATAAAAACTTTCATATATGTTGTGATCTGAGTGTGTATTTTTTAAAGTACAGGGAAAAGACTGGAAGGAAATAATAATCAAAGGTTAACAATGGTCATCTCTGAGTCAAAGATTTTGCTCTTTTCTTGATCCTTTATAGTTTACATTCTTTTAAACTTTTTTTAACCTAACATACATGACCATGTTTATAAGAAAAAGCAAAAGCAAGAAAGTAGCAAGACCAACTCTACGGATCAACAGAGTTTAAGAAACTGTGTCCTACAGTCTCAAGAGTGAGAACTGGTGGGGTGTTCCAGGGCTCCGTAAATGGTCCCTATGCCATGAGCTGTAAGTCAAAGAGGAATCTACTGGAGCTGCAATATTCCTATAGGGTTTCCATTTCTGATCAAACCTTCAAGCTCACTGCCTTCTGATGTGATCTGAAGTCCCTTCCTTACACAAGACAACAGCCCTCGTTGGACTCTGCCCTTATCAGCTCTCAGCAATAATGCAGATTGTGACAGCTTTCATGCCAGCCCCAACATCCCTGAAGCAGGGAGTGGCAAAGAGCTGGAGAGTCAGGCCTACGTGACATGAATCCAGGCTCGGCCACTTTATTAGCCGTGTTCTGTTTATCTATAAATGGGGATAAAAAGGCACTTATCTCTGGGGCTATATAGTGAGGCTCCAACTGAGAGAACTTATGTGCAATGTTCAGTACAGTGTTGGGCCCCAATAAGTACTCAAATAAAGGTTACTACTGCTTGTTTCCTCTTATCTTTAAAGTAAACTTTCCCATTCTATTCATTGTTTAGCACATGGCCTAAAGCTCTGGTAGCGTAGTGGTTATGAATCAGGCTGCGAACCTCAGGGTCAGCAGTTCGAAACTACTAGCTGTTCCATGGGAGAAAGATGAGGCTTTCTGCTCCCGTAAAGATTTACAGCCTCGGAAAACATGAAGAGGGTCGCTGTGAGTAGGAACTGACTCCACAGCACATACCAACAAAGAAGGAATCTGGAGTCCTGGTGTGGCCCTGTGGGTTAATGCACCAGACTACAAAGCAATTTGAACTGCAAGGTCAGTGGTTCAAGCTCACCGGCAGCTCCTCGGAAATCCTATACAGGGTTGATATGGGTTGGAACCGACTCAACGGCACTTAACACAGTTGACCCTTATATATCTCTTAAGTAGTTTGCAAGCGCCACTCTGCCCTCCCACCCCACCGTTGCCCTAAACACAGGTGGCCACCTAGGTGGCCAACTCTGGAATCTCTAGTTTGGCACGTGAGGACCATCTCTGGGCTACCCTCCAGACCCCACTTCCTACAAACCTATCATCTTCTGGAGCAGCAGCATGTTGCCTTTTCCAAAGAGCACGCAGAGGTCCAGGATCTTTGGGATGTCAAACAGGAAGTTGTTGTAGAGGATTTCTCCAAAGGCAGAGGAGGAAATGAAGTGATCCTAAGGAAAAGTACAGAGAGAAGAGATAAGAAACTTTCAAAAGACACATTCTCTTACAACACTTGACAAATCACCTTCTGGTCTATCAGTCAGGAGCTAGCTCATAAATGATGCTACGTCCACATCATGGCATGCTGAGGCTCACATAATAACTGGGGCAGTGGTTCCTCTTTTAATGATAAAGACAAAAAAGTCAAGCAAACCATAAAACGGTTAGAATCTCACTGAGTGGAGACTATGGGTAAATTAACATGAGGGAATTGCTTTACAATACTCCAGGAAAAAAAACACAAAACACAAAATTGAGGTGTGGCTGGAAGGTAAAACACAATCAGTAAAATGTTGGAAACTGTTAAAGCTGGGCCTTTGAGTGCATGGGGTTCATTATACTTTTGTGTATGTTTACAGAGTTGGAACCAACAGGATGGCACTTAATTAATGATACTGAAAAAGTGTTTTCAAAAAGAAAGCTCATATATGGGAACTCACAGTACTTTCTGCTCAATATTCTGTGTTCTAAAAAATAAACGGGGGAGGGGGACAGGGGGAAGCAAGATTCTACTTTGGTCTATTCATCACGTACAACAGAGGAAGGACAATCAAGAAAGGGAGGAGGAAATGAAAGGTGTAGCTGTTTCCCTAAACAGCTGCCTCCTTTGCCATGAGGCCAAAAGAACTTGATGATGCAGGGTATCATGACTGAACACTCTAATCAAAGAGTCCAAAGAAGAATCCTGATTAAAAGAGGAGAAATGTAGGACAGAATTTCAAATTCTCATGGACTCCAGACTTTCTGGAGCCATGGAGGCTGGATGAACCTCTGAAACTATTGCCCCAAGACTATCTTTAAATCTTAAATAAAAAATAGCACTGAAGTCATCTTAAGACCAAACAAGAATTTTGCAAACCGAGTTTAAAATGTCTGCCTTGCTGAGGACTCTGGATTCACAGAAAGAGAGGGACTGAGAGCTGGCGGCCAGGCTTGCAGAATGTGCCCTTTGGGGGTATAAATTATTACATATGCGTGAATGTTTAAAGGAAAAAAAAAAAAAAAAAAGAGCTAAAATGAATAGCGAGAAATACTGCTAACTGATGGTACATGGAGGGGATTATAATCATTGTAATGAAACAAAGTATATGATTTGTTGAATATAAAAATGATCTGCCCTGTAAACTTTCACTCAATTCACAATAAAAACTAAAAAAAAAGTCTGCCTTGAGCATTATGCTTTTAAGAACTATCTCTATGGGATCAAAGTGACACTAGCAACTTCACAGATGAGATAGGAACCTTAGAGGGCAATGTGCTCATGCTAATGGGGGAGAAACAACTCAGAAAAGGAGAGGGAGAAAGGTTGCACAATTCGGAGACTGGTCAGTATCACCGAACTACACATGTAGCAACAGTGAGTTGGAGTATATTTTGCTGTACATATTCTAACAAAAAAATACAGGCAGTGCCTGGGTTACAAATGAGATCGACTCTTCTGTCTTTAAAGCTTTAAGTGGAATCTCTGGGTGAAGCACTTGGCTGCTAACCAAAAGAAGGAAGATGTAGTCAAGGTCTGTAAAAAATTACAGCTTTGAAGACCCTATAGGGCAGTTTTACTCTACCTTAGAGGGTCACAATGAGTTGAAATCAACACAACAGCAGTGGGTTTGGTTTTTCTTTAGTGCAGGAAAAGGCTGGAAGTCTTTTCAATGATTTTTGTACCTTGCAGTAAGTGAAAGTGATCATGATGAAAAATTTGTTGCCAGTAGTGGCTGGGGTTGGTTCAATTGTGTCAAAGTGAGACACAGCCTGCAAATTTTTTGTTTGAATCCTGTGCTGGAAATAAATACAAACACACAAGAAAAAAAAAAAATTCTCTGATGAAACATGTACCTTAACAGTGGTTATTTCAGGGAGGAGGAATTTTTGTGGCTGACTTTCACTCTTGATATATTTCTGTAATGTTTGAATTGTTCAGAGAGCATTTATTTATTTTTAAAAAATCAGGCAGCCGGTAGATTTTTGAAATGCACACACAAGTTCCTTAAAAAACTTAGAATCAATGCTTCCACCTTTTGACGCACAGTAAAGGTGAAGTCACGTGTCAACTGGCAGAATGCCCTCAGCTCCCATTGAAGAAAACACTGGTGTAACACAGAGCAGCCAGGTGAATGAGAGGATAGGGCAGTGGCACAGATTTCATCCCCAGTGGTGGGAATAAAGGCTGAGGGGAGACAAAGAGGAAACCCGATGCTTTTAGAACTTCATTCCCAGGGCTGGTGAGTCTGGCACAGAGGTGTTGGGTGTCGGGTGGTGACTTGTCACGAGACTTACTTTGGATTCCTTGTGAGTGGACATGCGAAGGAAGGTGAGAAAAACACTTCGATGGAGATGCTTCTGCATTTCCACAACCTCAGGGGCCGGGGCCACCCACTCATCAAATTTTCGGGGCACATAGCGTAGGTAGGAGTCCAGGCACTTCTGCAGGGTCTCATCGAAGATAACCTAAGTCAGGAGATAGGAGAGGCTTGAGGGTTTGCAAGTGGGCAGGGCAGGGGCTCATGGTCCAACAACCCTGGCTTGCTGCAAACATTCCAACCCCCAGGGACCAAGGAGAAATGAATGAGTCAAGGGCTAAATACAGGTTCTAAAACTGACACTTGGAAAGGCATTATGCAGACATCATTAAGATTGTGACACAAGACAGAGCAATCAAAATCACAATTTGCTGTTAAGGATCCCGTGTAAGAAGTACACAAAAAAGCATCTTCTAGAAGGAAAAAATACAATAGTAGCAACCAACCAATAGCAAGTCATGCGTTTTGTCTAGAGTTAATTTTGATAGAATGTTACCTGACACCAGAATTTATCGTGAGGCAAGGCCAGGAGCCAGTCGAGGTCATTGGCTATGAAGGTGGCGCGTTCCAGGTATTCCTCCACTAGGGCAGGAATGTTGTCTTTAGGGGGTGGTTTGTATAACACAAAATATTGGTCTGCCTTCTGCTCAGGGTGCTATGGATCCAAAAACTATGTGTTAATATGGTAGAGGTTAGTCAGTGAAGGCCCATTTGCCAACCCACAGTAATGACAACACTTGACAACAGTGACCCTTCAGAAGTTTTTTAGCATAAAGAACTAAGTGTATCTAACAAAGGAAACCTGATAACCTCCAGAGAATACTGGGCAGTCATTACTGTTGTTGTTAAGGGCCACTGAGTCAGTTGCGACTCACAGTGACCTTGCGTAGGGTTTCTGAGCAGCAGCTAGTAAGCTTGGACCACCAACTTTGTGGTTCAAACTAACTTTGCAACCCAGCGCATTAACCCACAGTGCTCCACCAGGACTCCAGGTGGTCATTTAGAAGCCTCAACTTTGAAGAATAGTTAATGAGGCAGGGAAAGGTTAGGGGAAGAAAAAGCAGAATGCAAATTTCTCTAGTTCATAGGAGCTTTTTTGAGTTTGGTTGCATAAATACAGATATTTAATACATTCACACCAAAGAATGAATAATGGTTATCTCTGGGAGTTGGGATTATGGCTTGAGTATATTTTCCAATTTTTCTGAACTGAACATGCACTATTTTTTTAAAATTAATTTTCAATGACACAAGTGAACATCTTTTCTTTGAAAAACGTAAACAGTACAGGGAGATGTGTCTTTGGGACCACGGGGAGTCACCCATCACCCAGTATGACCTCAGGCAGAGCCATAAGAGACACTGTTTGTTTGGATCTGCTGTTTTCTTTCTTATACAAATGGCATCATACTGTATGCATCGCTTTGTTGTACTCTTGTTATAATTAGAAAACAGCTTCGGTAATTGGTAATTTTCTTAAACAAAAGATTCCAATCAAGTCACTGAAGGGCTGGCTCAGTTTCACCCTTACCTTGCCATGAACAAACCCTACTTTGTTCACTTTAAAGAGAAACCGACAGGCTCAGTTTTCTCCTCTGACTACTTAAGGGCTGCTTTCTGACTACATACGGGAAATGCTAACAGGAGAAAGGCCAGGCAAAGTCTCAGCTGTTATTAACCACAGTCCACCCACTTCCAGGCCTGTCCATCCAAAGGCCACAGGATTAGGCAACTTCTCAAGAACCACTTAATGCCTCTAATGTCTAACGTAATTTTTCAAACTAGAGTTTTTGGGTTCTAGCAGGATTTCTTGAGGGTCACTATTGGATGGGTCTTTGGGACTCCATAGCATTGAAGTCAGAACTTATATAGTGGGGTTCTAGGTACACATCTGTTTGAGAAAGAACTGTGCTGATGGAAACAAATTGAAAACTACCATCTAGAGGCTAAACTCCTTTCCCTATATTCAAGCTGACTAACCCCCATCATAACCACTGACTAACCCCCATCACTCTCTGTAGATACCTCATCTCTCAGGCCAGCTTCTCACCACCCTCTGTCACCCTAACACAGATGTCCGCCCCCGCCATGAAGTACTAACATTTCCTGTAATCTTGCTAATGTTTGTGGGGGGCCTGCTGTGAAAAAAAGGCATCCAGATACTCACAGAGCCCTCTCTCCAACAGGAAGATATATACCTAAAACTACCAAGTAAGGAGAAATTAGAGGAACTGACCCCTCAAAACCTGGCAGAGGGATACCAGGGTGCAGAAAGGCACTAACTACAATGGAAGGACAAGGGAGTTTTCCAGGGCAGGCAGCACCTGAGTTGGGTCTTAGAAAATGGAAAATTTCATGAAAACAAACAAGTTTTCTGGACGGATAAGTGGGGTGCTATTTGATACGCACTGGACAGAAAGGTTGGTTCAAACCACCAGACCGACAGTTCAAACTCACCAGCCACTCCTCAGAAACCCTAAACAGAGTGGTTTTGAATTGGAATTGACTAGACGGCACTTAACAGCAACAAAAAAGGGCCAGCATGACAATGGCACAGATTGCACCAGGCAGTAGAAGACGGACTGGGAGGGAGAAAATGCTGGAATAGCAACAACCAAAGCCACTGCTTATCAAGCCTACCAGACTTGCCGTGTGCCAGCTGCTGGTAGGCTTGTCCCGCAATCTGTCTTTTCCTGTATATTTTAAATTTACATCAACTATCTAAAAGGGGGGGGCTTCCTGGTGTGGTGCTGTAGGATCAGCACTGGACCCTGAACCACAAGGTCGGCAGCTCAAACCCACCAGCTGCTCCTAGGAAACCCTATAGAGGGTTGCTATCAGTCAGAACTGACTTGATAGCACTTAACAACAATCTAAAAGGGAGACAGTATTCTCCCCCGTTTTACAGAAGAGGGAATGAAAACTCAACAAGGCTCAGAATCTTCCCAAGGTCACAGGGCTAAACTAAGGAAGCAACTAGGCTGGTTTTGGACCAAAGCTTACATGGCAGACCTACTCACTGCTTGTGCAGATCTGAGTCTGGCTCTGATCTCACCTCCTCCAGGAGTCCTCCCTAACTCCCACTCCAGACGTGTTTCGAGGTTCACTCCGTTCTCATCCTAGAGCAGTGCTTGGAGAACTCTATTAAAAGTGTCTGCTTTCAGATCAGGGGCAGGGAGAGAGGAGAAGATGAGCAAAAGGGTACTTCAGGAGTGGGGCTGGGGGTGGGGGTGGAAATCTCTTGGTTATAGTAATTGTTCCACAGGTGTGTACATAGGTCAAAACTTACAAAATTCTATACTTTAAATGTGTGGGTTTCTAGTCCTCCAATTACACTTCAATAGAGTTATAGTTAAAAGGTAGCCTGCCTTATCACCCAGTAGCCTGTACATCTCCAGAGACAGTGTAAGCCTTGCTTACCAAAGCATTCCCAATCCCTATCATCGAGCAGACTCTCCATACACATTTGCTGGCTAGTCAAAGGGATGAACAGAGATAATGGAGGACCAGATCCTACCCAAGTCTCTGAAGATCTTAAATGCCAAGCTCAAGAGTACTGGTTTTATTCTGTAGATGGGGGACCGTGGAAGGTTTCAGAGTAGAGTTACAATAGGATCCAACTGTGTTCTCTCTTCTACCCAAGTCCCATATCACCCTTCAAGCCTGGGTAAGGTCCTACCTGCTCCACGAAGCTTTCTGAACACTCTCTGCCCATCAAACTTCTGTTCTATTAATCTAGATATTGATATGAGGCTGTTTTGTACTATTCTCTCTATGCTCCATTTATGAGTCCACTCAATCCTTCTGGCCAAAGACTTTATTTCTCTCAGGGCTTTAGCAGTACCAAGTATGTGCTGCATGCACAATGGCTACTCAATGAACATTAGCATGGCAGCTGTTCTATGCCGATAGATCTTCTTGCCCAAAATCAGCTCAGGGGATAAATGTAGGGTGGGTACCTACCTCAGGACAACTTTTAGGAGCACCTCAGGAGCCTGCAGACTAACCAACAAGACCCCTCCTCTATCAGAGTGCTGTATCCCTCAGCTTGTTCCTCTTTCTACCCCTCGGTCAATACTTCTGTTGTCACTGTGGTCACCACCACCATTGTTGCTGCTTCCAAGTGCTGTTGAGTCAGTTCTGGCTCACAGTAGCCTTGTATAGGGTTTCTGAGGAGCAACTGGTGGGTTTGACCCGCCAACCTTGTGGTTAGCAGTCCAGTGCTTATCCGAAACACTAGGACTCCATCACCACAATTCTCATTTATTAAACAAGGTAGTTCAAACCCAGCTGCTCCTTGGAAACCCTATACAGGGTCACTATGAGTCGGAACTGACTTGGTGGCACTTAACAACCATGTGCTACAGGCACAAAGCCAATTCACAGTTCTCTTACTTCAGCCTCATAACCGCTCCACAATGCTGACTCTACAATGACCCTTTCTGATCGTGATGCTCAGAGAGGTTAAGAAAACCACACTACTAGGTGCGAGATTTAACACCTAGCCTGTGCTCTATCCTGCTGCTATCCTGCTTCCACTCCAAGTGACGTCTGGTCCCCATTCTGCCTACCCCATTTACCTAGTCCTGTGACCTTGAACAAAATCTTTCTACTGCTTTGTTACATCACCTGTAAAATCAAAACACCGACTTAGAGGGCCAGGGTACAGCTTACGTGAGAATCCAGGTAAGTGTTTAGAACAGCTTGGCACACAACGAGTGCTTTATAAACAGGAGGTACTATTATTAGAGAGTATTTAGGAAGTAATAAGAATCTATCCAGAAGGCAGGAAATAAAACACCAAGCTTCTGTTTCCCACGACTTTACTCAAGCCCCCAGAAAATACTTCCTCCCACCTTTTCACAGTAAGCTCATATTCTTGGGAAAGCAACAAGTGGGTACGGGGACTCCAGTCCCCGAGTCAGTCTCCTACTTCAGCAGCCTGGCAGCTCTCCATGGCTCTAATCTCTCCGCCACTTGTAATCGGCATGTTCACAGCCTCCTTATTTTTCAGCCTCACAAATCCTGCCGAGTCTCGCTATGTGGCCTTCTTAATCAGTTGAGATAAAAGACAGCCCCATGCTCTGCAATCATTGTTTCCACTGAAGAACCGAGAACAGTTTTAAAGGTTCTCAAACAGTCCAGTCTGAAACCTGAACAACTCCCCCAGGGTCAAATCTGCTTTCTGCTTCAGGCCAGCTCAGGCTGAATCAGAACTGCCATCAGCCTTCAGAGTCAAAGTTACGTGATTTGAGAGGAAGGTGGGGACTGGGGACCTGAGAAACACTACTCAAACTCAACTGCTGCACAGAAGGAAACTTCCACATTGGGCCTGGAGGACCAATGAGGTCCCAGGTACTGAATTACCAACCATGTGGCATTCTTGGAACAGATAAAGAAAGAATTTACTTTTTGCTTCTGAAATTGCAAGAATGATAATATCAGGCTGAAGGGCTTTAAGGCACCGACTCACCAGCGCTGGTGAAGTCCTCAGCTTTCCTGTCTTCGGGTCCTTGTAGGTGATCTGGAGCTCGTCCAGGGGCAGAGCTGACATTGTGCTCCGTGACCCTCCTGAAGAGAATATGGATGAGAAGAAGAGAGCAGGCACCCAAGTTCCCAGGGGTAGGGGCTCATTTGGGGCTGCTTCCTGAGCCCAGAGAGAAGCTTCAACCTCAAGTCAGGCTTTTCAGGCTCTGGACTTGGGTCTAGTTTAAGTACCTAGCAGTTTTGATTGAAATGATCTTTTCTTGCCTGAAACAATACTTTCCCCCTGAAGAAGAAAATCCTCCCCAGGTGACTTTTGATGTACTCTCATCCCTGGAGAAGTACAGATAGATGAACCAAAAACCCAAGCCCACTGCCAGTGAATAGAGTTCAACTTACAATAACCCTACAGGACAGGGTAGAACTTCCCCAAAAGGTTTCTGAAGTTGTCAATCTGTATGGATACAGACTGCCACATCTTTCTCCCATGGAGCGGCTCATGGGTTCAAATCACAACCTTTTGGTTAGTAGGCTGGAGTTCTGACCATCGTGCAATGAATACTCTTTCAACAACAACAACAAAGTACTCAGATGTTCTTTTATTATATAGCTCATGGCTTGTGAAGGCTGGACCCAGGGCTCTTCTTTTCCCACAGTCCTGGCACACCTAATGTCTGGTCAACAAGTGAATACTCTTCTCCCAACTCTAGGGGCCCTGGTAACGCAATGGGTTACGAGTTGGCTGCTAACTGCAAGGTCAGGAGTTCAAATTTATCAGCTGATCCGAGGAAGAAAGATGAAGCTTTCTGCTCTCATAGAGATTTACAGCCTCGGAAACCCTACAGAGGGTCACTATGAGTCAGGACCGACTCAATGGCACACAACTGCCACCACCACCACTTCAAACTCTAACCAGATTTTTCGTCTTTTGAGGACTGGAGACATGGATCTTTTCTCACTTGTAGAGAGTGCTAAGATTTACAGCCTCCTTAGGCTTCAGGGAAGGGATTATCTTCCCATTTGCCAACAGGGACATGGATGAACAGACGGTTCATGAATGCACCAAGGAGGAAGACAGAATCCAAAGAAATCTGCCAGGGTATGTTTTTTTTCCCCAGAATCCCTGAGTGCAGACCCCAGTCTCCTGTCTGCCTGTCCAACACGCTTTCCACAATGCCACACAGTATATCCTAGAGGAGAGATGTGCAGGTTGATGAGTCATAGAACTGAAATGAATTAACGCCCCTTAAAAGGCATGCCATGAAAGGCCAGCACAATCTCAGTGATAACATGAAGACTGATGTAACTGTTGTTGCATGGGGGGGCATGCAATCATTAGGTGAAGCAAAGTGTACAAATTGTCAAATATACAACTGATGATCTACTCTGTAAACCTTCACTCAACTCAAAAAGTTAAAAAAAAAAAATTTAGAAAGGCAAAAACAAAACAAAATATGAAGACCCGAGCAAGGCTGGGTTGAGGAAACCATTACCTTTCAAACACTCACAGCTGAGCTGAGGAGCAGGTGAAGCTATGAGTTTCCAGTGGTGGTGGTAAAGTGCTGTGGAGTCGGTTCCGACTCTTAGTGACCCTGTACAGGGTTTCCAAGGCTGTAAATCTTTACAGGAGCAGAAAGTCTCATCTTTCTCCTGTGGGACAGCTGGTAGTTTTGAACTGCTGACCTTGAGGTTGGTAGCCCAATTCGTAACCACGACGCTACCAGAGTTACCGGTGTCCTATTATTTAGGTATGGAGTCAGGCCCTGGCGATATGTAAACAGACTAATAAGACACGAGCTTAGGATTCAACATTAACAATAGTAGTAGTTGTTATTAAGTACCATCAAATAGGTTCCAACTTACAGTGACCTTGTATAGGGTTTCCAAGGAGCAGCTGGTGGGTTTAAACCACTGACATAATGGTTAGCAATCCAGTGCTTATCGTACAGCACCACACCAGTTCTCCATAATAGTAGTAGTACAATAGCAGTGGTGGTGGTTATGTGTCGTCAAGTCAGTTTCAACTCATAGCAACCCTGTATAGGGGTTCCAAAACTGTAAGTCTTTACAGAAGCGGTAAGCCTCATAGTTCTCTCAGAGTAACTGGTAGATTCGAACTGATGACCTTGTGGTTAGCAGCCCAGTTCATAATCCACTACACTACCAGGGCTCTTTATAATAGTAGTAGTAGTCATAATATTAAGGAGCTCTGGTAGCATAGTGGTTACGAATTGGGCTGTGAACTGCAAGGTCAGCAGTTCAAAACTACCAGCTGTTCTGCGGGAGAATGAGGAGGCTTTCTGCTCCTGTAAAGATTTACGGCCTCGGAAACCTTGTACAGGGTCGCTATGAGTCAGAACCGACTCCACGGCACATAACAACAGTCATAATATTAATTAACAATGAAAATAACAACAGCAGCAACAACATGCTTCTGAGCCAGGTGCTCTTCTAAGTGCTTTTCTCATACTAACTAACTTTATAGATTTTAACTCACTTTACCCATATTAATGCTCACAACTCTTAGGTTGGTTCTATTATCATCCCCATTTTTTCAATAAGGACATTTAGAGACTCAAAGAGAGTAAGAAACAAGTCCAAGGTCTCACTGGCCTTTTGCCTTAGTACTCTGGAAAAACAGTTGGAGAGATTTACGCCTCTAACTCTTGAGGAGTTACCTTGCCCTAGTTTTCTACTCCAATTGATTTGTTACTTTTGTCCAGGCTGAATTATATTAACAATAATAGTTTGATACTTTCAGCCTGGCCCTGGGCTGCAGCTTGCCCTGTTATTGGTATGCACTTGGCAGGGATTGGTCAATAGACAATGTAAATGAAGTGAGTTGAAGCCCACTACACAAATTAAGTATCTGTGGTCTACCAAGATGGGATTGATTGGGAAATTCATGTCCTACCCTCAGTGGAAGGAGCTCTGGTAGCATAGTGGTTACGAATCGGGCTGCTAACCTCAGGAACAGCAGTTTGAAACTACCAGCCGCTCCGCGGGAGAAAGATAAGGCTCTCAGCTCCTGTAAAGATTTACTACCTCAGAAACCCTGTACAGGGTCGCTATGAGTCAGAACCGACTCCACGGCACATAACAACAACAACCCTCAGTGGAAGGGGTAGGGACATGCCTTGAAATTAACAAGTTGTGTATATAAACAGCCAAATCCACAAGGTTTTAGAGACAGAAACAAGCAGGAAGAAAGAAGAGAAAAAGGAGGCAAAGAACCTTTTAAAAAAGCTATAGCACAGGTCAAGGGCTGTAATACTGAAGATAGTGACAGGCACAAGAAAAGGCCCAGTGGCAGAGTCAGTAGCCACAGCCTGAAGAAGCCTGGTGACAGAACTAGCAGTGACAGATGACAGGGCCAAGAAGAGTCTATCTGAAGGAGCTAAGACTGTTACACTAAAAAGAGCCTCAAGTGTTATGCTTTTGATTGTGGCCATTCATCTGAAGGCAGGAAAGCAGTCTTTCAACTAGGGGAGGAGCACAAGCAGAGATTACCTGGTGGTGGGTGGTGATAACTGACAGGGGGCCTGCATAGCACAGAGGAGCTGTGAGAACTGTCCTGCACTGAAAAGGGAGACTTTGTCTCCAATGCTTCTGATCCTTATCCCAAGTTCCTTAAAAAACCATTTAACTCTAAGTATGGTCTGTGAATTGTGTATGACCACTGCTCAATGGATTATTGAACCCAACAGAGAAGTAGAGTGCCATAAAGAGGATGGCTAGTGTGAGCATTGGTAAAAAGATGGAAAAATAGAGGTATGTCTGATCTCCACTTCCTGGGAATCAGCTTTGGCTTGATCCTGATCATCATCCCTGTTGAAGTTAGACAGGTTCTGATGCTACTACCTGCCAAGGATGGCACTGGGTGTGTCCAGTATGGGAATCTAGAAGGAGGCAGCTTTCCACTCTTTAAATAGGGTCCTGTAGGATATACCAAAAGGAAATGGTTGATGTTCAACCATTTCAAGAGATACCATATGAACAAGAGCCAATGATACTCAGAGAGGAAGTCCAAAGTGCA